CCAGCACCACGAACAAATCCGAGTCTGCTACAGCTACATCCACATCGATCACATCCACCAGAACGTTGACAAGCAGCTTGACAAGCACCACGAGCAACTTCACCACCAGCACCACGAACAAATCCGAGTCTGCTACAGCTACATCCACATCGACCACATCCACCAGAACGTTGACAAGCAGCTTGACAAGCACCACGAGCAACTTCACCACCAGCCCCACGAACAAATCCGAGTCTGCTACAGCTACATCCACATCGATCACATCCACCAGAACGTTGACAAGCAGCTTGACAAGCAGCCTGACAAATACTGTGACAAGTACTGCCACCAGTACACTCTCTACCGCTACAACTTATACTCAAACCAGCACCAGCACACTAGGAACGAGAACAAGTCTCACAAGTCTCAGCGTCACTTCCATGGGGAGTACGACCAGCGCTGTTACAAGGCTGACCACAAACACGATCACCGTCACTAGCACCGCTACAGCCGCAACTGACACGACTTCGACGACCGGATCTGTAGCATCTTTGAGCGGTGCTGGTGCTGGTGATGCTGGTGCCACAGTCACTTCGACTCCAAGCACAACTCTTTCTGCCCTCACTTCGACAAGCTCGACAACTTCGACAGTTTCGGAGTGTTTATCCGATTGCAGTTCGAGCATTTCGACAACCTTCACCAGGTGTGTTATGGAATGTTCTGATTGTGGATGTGGGGACGGATTTCATGCTGTTTCATGTTCTATATATGTTCTATATATGTTCCATATATGTTCTATATATGTTCTATATATGTTCTATATATGTTCTATATGTTCCATCCTGTCACGTTTGACATTGACAAACACCCCAGGCAAGTCTGGTTGTTTTGTGCTTGAATTCCTCGGATTCCTGCAGTTATTCCTGCAGTTATTCCTGGGACGGCTTCTGCAGCTTAATAGAAGTGTTCAAGATGCCCATTACCATTATCATTATTATTATTATTATCATTATTATTATCATTATTATTATCATTGTTATTATCATTATCATCAATCATTTAAAGTTCTGGTTTCATGGAACTGCAACTTGCTAGGCGAGATTGGTGTATTTCAATAGCCTGCGTTTCGAAGTACTGGTATCATGACATTTCAAGGCAATGCCTACAGCACCCTAACGGACAAGTTGTAGAAACGATGACCCAAAACTAAGGAGTTGAAATCAATTCACTTGACCCATAACGGACACAGGCCTGGAAAACCGGGCCATTTGGCGCAAGGTGTGCGTTCTTTGCTGTTTTCTTTAGGCCCGGAATGTGGCTGGAAAACCACCGTTGAACGGTCAGGACAGAAGCATCGCCAGTGAGTGCTACGGCATCGCTTTTATTCAGCGACTCCATTGCAGCTTTGTCGAAGAATTTGGCTTTACCGTTTTTTGTGGTCGAAAATTATGACTTTCTCATTTGGCCTAATGCGATATAATTTGGTAGTTGGGAATGGATTCCCCGCATATTTCTGGTTTCGCAATATTTGCGATGCTGGCTTTGCCACATTGCTGCGTTCTTCTGTTTGATGAGTCATTTTGCGCCTGAAAGTCTGTTGCAGATGTGCAGATGTGGGCAGTTTTTTTGTCTTCGATGCAAAGCACATGTCAGCAATGTTTGTGGGTTGCGCTTCATTTTGACACTATTCAATATCGAAAGTAATGTTTTTGGAGAGGAACTGTAGGGCAAAAGACAGATCATGACAAATTCTGTTTCATCACACCATAATTGCCATACGTGCCACAACAGCTGCTTGCACGCCATCGCGACGATTGCTGATTTCCTTTTGCGCCCGTGGTCCACGCTTTGCTCTTGATCCTTCTTTTTCTTTAGTCGCTCTACTCCATACTTGTGCTTGCTCAACCCTCTTTTTTCCTACGGTTCTTTTCTGTTTCCTCTACTCTACTCTTTTCGTCCTTTCTTTGCTGGTCTATTCTTCCTTTCTTTACTCTTCTCTGCTCTCAGAGACTTCTTCCTTGTTCTACACTTTTTCCGCGTTTCTCTCCTCTCCTGATTTAAAATACCCGAAGAAGATTCCAAGAACCCTTCCACTATCGGTAAAACTATCGTCTCACAGAAACCCTCTGCTGAGCTCCGTGGGTTAACGTGCAGAACTGCAGAACACCATAAGATACCATAAGTGTACTCATGGAGCACATGAGTTCTGTGAAATTTAGGGAGTTTGCACAGCTGTTTGTGCATATCGGTTGTTGGTTTATTTCTTGACGCAAGTGCTGAGTTTCTTTGGGGGAACTTTACGTTTTGTGAGGCAACAACTGCTTTGAAGAAAAGCAACATCTTTTAAGGCGAACTTGAACGGAAGTGCATCTTCTGCATGATTCTGGTTCTTTTCAGGCAGCCCTGAGGCTGTACCTTAAGGCGAGACAGCGTGTCTTTGCAGGAAAAACATATAAACAATTATAAACACATAAATACAGGTTGCGAAGGGATTTGCAATGTGTGAAGACTAACTTATCTCGCACAATACCTTTTTACATCCTTTCGCTCGCAAGAATTAGGCACAGTCTTCACTGAAGGTTTGCTTTTTTCTTTGGGGACTTTGCAGTTGTTCATCCTTGACTCGAAGGAACAGTAAAGACAGGTGGTCCGCGGCCACTGTAGCTGTACTGGTGTCGAGTTTTGCAAACCTTTGCCGTAAAGGTTAGAAAAGTAGTTGTGCAATTCTGTGCCCCTGCGGACTGGAATGACACGCTTTGCGGACAAAGTTCGGAGCAGGTCGCGTGTTATAAAGCACTCCTTGCTTCCTCAAACCACATCCGACCCTCTACAGCCCTCCCATAGTGCCATAGTACCTTTCCATCTTAAACCTGCAGCTTCAGATTCAACAAATTCGCAATATCATTCAATATCCCATGACGGATCCATGTATGCTATATATATGCTAACATAAAGGGGGTATATTGATGGTAACATGTTAGCATATATAGCAGCACCATGGATCCGTCATGGGTATATCAATATCCAAAATCAGCCGAAACTTCAGGATCCGCTGGAGGAAACGCAGGAGACTCAGGAGCCTCAGGAGGTCTCACAAGCCAGCGTCCTGGTTCCAGCCATGACCTTAGAGCGATGAAACACCGATGGAGGAAACGGTTGATGTGAAGATGTGGTTTTTTACAGCTGAATTTGATCTAATTTGATCTAATCTGGAGGAAATATGGGGAATAGTTTGACAGAATAGGAGTTGATCAAAACACAACATTTTTTGAAGGGATGAAGCAACGGATCAGAGCTGGACAAGCTGAGTTCATGATGGAACAATAATATCTTGTTGAGTTTCAATCAGCAAGATTCAGGACAGGTTGAGGACAAGTTCAATTAAATTTAATTGATGTTCAGGATGTGTTTGTTGAATTCTGTTGATTTCTTGCCGATTTCCAGCTCAATTTCAGAAAACATCTGTCAATTTGTTTGTTCTGAAGTTGCCAATGATTGCCGAGCCAGAAGTTTTGGCCAAAAATCCTTGCTGAACCAGGCATTAGCCGCAGCTTCCGTCGTCATTTGCTGTGTCTTTGGATGTTTGCTTGTCATGTGCTCAGAGTGAAAAGTCTTGCCATCTTGCCGTGCAGCTTCTTTCTACTTGCGATTGGCTCCTCAAACTCGGTTCAGCCGCTTGTTAAACGCAGCGAGTTTGCGTTGATTTTCATGATTTTTCATATTGGGAGACAATTCCATTGAGATGTTTACTTCTTTTTTTTCGGGCAGGTTTCGCTTCTTTTGAGTTTTGCTTGGAGAAGTATGGGAACTTGATTCTCGCAGATGGCATACTATGGCGTCTTAACTACTTCACTTCGGTGAGGAGCAGGTTGACGTCCGCTTACAACAACAACAACAACAACAATTCCATTGAGATGTTTCTGGTGTTGTTTGGTCATGCAAGGTGAGATTTTGGAATTCTTGGAATTCAATAGTGATCAGCTGTTTCATCACGCAAAGTCACACCCCCCTAATTATCATCATTGATAAAATTTATCCACAGTTCTCCTAGACAATAGTAACAACCATTAGCAACCACATTGCCATTGCAGAGCTCCCTTGATGTTTCCAGCAACTCTCAGAGATCCTGCAGGTCAAGTTGCGGAAAGCCTGCAAAGAACGAGCAAAGGTTGCTCCGAAAGACTCTGAGAAGAATCGCTATGAGGAACGCTCAAAAGTGTTTTTGGTTGCAGTGAAATAACCACAATTATCTTTTCTAGATCTTTTAGGTAACAACTCTCCTCCAATTATTCAATACTCGACATTTTTTGAACATTCAGAAAATTCCGGATATTTCTTTGCGCTCCTGTGTTCCATTGGTTGGAAAGGTGATTGAGACCAGAAATTCCCTTGTGGTTTTCACCCAATCAGGTTCGATCAATAAATATCGGTCCACCCCTATACAGATCCGAAGGTTTGGCTTTATGGTCCGAAGATACATATCACATATTATCACATCGATAAATATAAATATAATATATATATATACATTATATGATAAATAGATGATACATATCGGACCCAAAGGTTCGATCCATCCTGGCCGCTTTGCGAAACGCGCGGCCAGGCCTTTGTTGATGTGCTGCCTGGAGAGGCGACCCAGCGGTGAGCTGGAAAAAATACCTGGATTTTGAAGAAAAAGACCTGGATGAAAAAATGAAAAGCAATATGAAAAGACCTGGTTCCAAGGAAAAGACCTGATATCTGGAAATGATGAAATTCCTTCAACTTCCTTTAAATGTCCTTAATTTTCAATTGTTCAAAAAGACCTGCGCAAGGTGCACAGCGTGTACGATGCTGACAAAGAACTTCCAGGCGAAATCGGCGAGGAATCCTCCGGAGACAGCCAAGCTGATGCACAGGCCGGGGTAGGGCAGAGCATCTCCATGCATCAACCACTGTTTTTTGCGGACTGTGATTCCCGTTTTTGCTGCCAAGATCACCTGCTACGTGCAGCAGCTTTAGCAAGATTGAACTTCTGTTTTGTAGTTTCTGTCAGATAAATTCTTGTGAGGAGCCACCGGTTTGAATGAATCGAAGAAGGATTGAATCGGGTAGAATCCACTTCTGCAAGTTGTTTCATGTTTCCATGCCAGGAGGGTGAGGACGCACCAGATGAAGAAAATCGTGTTCAAGATGTTCAAGAAGAGCATGAAAACGATGCAAAGCAGGCGCGGTAGGAAGGCAGACATGTGGTGACTTCGCTCAGAATTTCAAACATGCTTTAAACTAAAGGACGTTTTGTTACAGAGGTTTACAAATATTCATAAATATTCACAAATATTGCACAGCTGCGCAATTACACCATTTATAGGAGTATGGGGTGACTTCGGGAAGTTTACAAGAATAGCAGTTTGGAAGCCCAATAGAAACAGTTTGTAGGGCCTATGGGGAGGTACGATGGCAAAGCAAGCGGAGGGTTGTGCGGTGCTGAGGCTTTCGAAAGCTGCTGCAGGGCTTGTGAAGGTTTTAAGGCCTGCCCAAAACGTGCCATGTAGCAGTTTCGAAGCCCAATAGAAACAGTTGTAGGGCCTATGGGGAGGTACGATGGCAAAGCAAGCGGAGGGTTGTGCGGTGCTGAGGCTTTCGAAAGCTGCTGCGGGGCTTTTGAGGCTTTTAAGGCCTGGCCAAAACGTGCCATGTAGCAGTTTCGAAGCCCAATAGAAACAGTTTGTAGGGCCTATGGGGAGGTACGATGGCAAAGCAAGCGGAGGGTTGTGCGGTGCTGAGGCTTCCCAAAAGAAGGCCTGGCCAAAACGTGCCATGTAGCAGTTTCGAAGCCCAATAGAAACAGTTTGAAGGGCCTATGGGGAGGTACGATGGCAAAGCAAGCGGAGGGTTGTGCGGTGCTGAGGCTTTCGAAAGCTGCTGCGGGACTTTTGAGGCTTTTAAGGCCTGGCCAAAACGTGCCATGTAGCAGTTTCGAAGCCCAATATAGAAACAGTTTGAAGGGCCTATGGGGAGGTACGATGGCAAAGCAAGCGGAGGGTTGTGCGGCGCTGAGGCTTTCAAAAGCTGCTGCGGGACTTTTGAGGCTTTTAAGGCCTTGCCAAAACGTGCCATGTAGCAGTTTCGAAGCCCAATAGAAACAGTTTGTAGGGCCTATGGGGAGGTACGATGGCAAAGCAAGCGGAGGGTTGTGCGGTGCTGAGGCTTTCGAAAGCTGCTGCGGGACTTTTGAGGGTTTTAAGGCCTGGCCAAAACGTGCCATGTAGCAGTTTCGAAGCCCAATATAGAAATAGAAACAGTTTGAAGGGCTTATGGGGAGGTACGATGGCAAAGCAAGCGGAGGGTTGTGCGGTGCTGAGGCTTTCGAAAGCTGCTGCGGGGCTTTTGGGGCTTTTAAGGCCTGGCCAAAGCGTGCCATGTAGCAGTTTCGAAGCCCAATAGAAACAGTTTGAAGGGCCTATGGGGAGGTACGATGGCAAAGCAAGCGGAGGGTTGTGCGGTGCGAAGGCTTTCGAAAGCTGCTGCGGAGCTTTTGGGGCTTTTAAGGCCAAAACGTGCCATGTAGCAGTTTCGAAGCCCAATAGAAACAGTTTGAAGGGCCCATGGGGAGGTACGATGTCAAAGCAAGCGGAGGGTTGTGCGGTGCTGAGGCTTTCGAAAGCTGCTGCGGGGCTTTTGAGGGTTTTAAGGCCTGGCCAAAACGTGCCATGTAGCAGTTTCGAAGCCCAATAGAAACAGTTTGTACCTCCGATGATGGCGAAGCAAGCGGAGGGTTGTGCGATGGCAAGTGGTGCCAAGGCCTGGCCAAAACGTGCCATGTAGCAGTTTCGAAGCCCAATAGAAACAGTTTGTAGGGCCTCCGATGGGGAGGTACGAAAGCTGCTGCGGGGCTTTTGAAGGTTTTAAGGCCTGGCCAAAACGTGCCATGTAGCAGTTTCGAAGCCCAATAGAAACAGTTTGAAGGGCTTATGGGGAAGTACGATGGCAAAGCAAGCGGAGGGTTGTGCGGTGCTGAGGCTTTCGAAAGCTGCTGCGGGGCTTTTGAGGGTTTTAAGGCGTGGCCAAAACGTGCCATGTAGCAGTTTCGAAGCCCAATAGAAACAGTTTGAAGGGCTTATGGGGAGGTACGATGGCAAAGCAAGCGGAGGGTTGTGCGGTGCTGAGGCTTTCGAAAGCTGCTGCGGGGCTTTTGGGGCTTTTAAGGCCTGGCCAAAACGTGCCATGTAGCAGTTTCGAAGCCCAATAGAAACAGTTTGAAGGGCCTATGGGGAGGTACGATGGCAAAGCAAGCGGCTTCGAAGCCCAATAGAAACAGTTTGAAGGGCCTATGGGGAGGTACGATGGCAAAGCAAGCGGAGGGTTGTGCGGTGCTGAGGCTTCCCAAAAGAAACAGTTTGTACCTCCGATGGGGAGGTACGATGGCAAAGCAAGCGGAGGGTTGTGCGATGGCAAGTGGTGCCGGTTTGGAGGGTTTTGGAATTGCGGAAAGCATATAATATGCCATGGCAATGGCAATGCCGGCACGAGCCATGCTGCACACCTACGGTGATCCCGGGCGCCGCCCCGCCTAGGCCAAGGCTAGGCAGGGGTCGGCGGATATAATAAAATATAAAATAATATAATATAATATAATATAAATCATAATATATAATACAATGTAATGTAATGTAATGTAATATATATAAAATAAAATATAATATAATATAATATAATATATTATAATATATAATATAATATAATATAATATAATATATATCATAATATATAATACAATGTAATGTAATGTAATGTAATATAATATGATATGATATAATATAATATGATATGATATAATATAATATGATATAATATAATATATATACTAATATATAATACAATGTAATGTAATGTAATGTAATATAAAGTAATATAATATAATATAATTTAATATAATATAATATAATAAAATAATATATATATATAATAATATATATATATATGTACAATATAATATATATATATAATAATATAATATGATATGATATGATATAATATAATATAATATAAGAATATATATATAATAATATATATAATAATATATATATATATACAATATATAATATATATATATAATATAATATAATATGATATAATATAATATAATATGATATAATATAATATATTATAATATATATAATACAATATAATACAATATAATACAATATAATAAAGTATAATAATATATATAATAATAATAATATATATATATTATTATATATATAATAATAATAGTATATATATTATTATATATAATAATATATATATAATATATATATATTATTATATATATATGTATATATTATTATATATAATAATATGTATATATATAATAATATATATATATATATATATATGTACAATAATATATATATATAATTATAATACAATATAATATATAATATATAACATATAATATATAATATATATTATATAATATATAATATATGATATATAACATATAACATATAATATATAATATATATTATATAATATATAATATATAATATATAATATATAATATATAATATATAATACGTAATATATAATATATAATATATAATATATAACAGAATATACATATAATATAATAGATATAATATAGTATATATATAATATCATATGTATATGTGTGTGTGTCACATACTGCACATCACACTGAAGAATGACGCGAGTGTTCAAAGAAATGATCCCAACATGGGATCCACTCTTGTCATTCAAAAAGATGGATCACTTTCCAAAAGCAAAGTGGACCGCCTCTGGCCACCCAAGCGCTGGAACCAGGCGAAGGTTCGGAAAGGCTTCAGGGACAGGTTACAACCAACATTTTCTGCAGCTCTGCCCTATTGCATCACTCCTTACTCCTTTCTGTTTTTTATTTTTTTTCTGATATGCGCAAACCTGACATCGGTAGCACTGTTCTGATCTTTTGAGGTATTTGGAGTACCGGCCCTTTAGCATGCAGCCTGTGCTGGCTCTTCTGCCACCGTTTCTTGCACGATTGATTTCCCTGACAGCAGCGGCGCTGCCGTCCAAAGCAAAAGACCTCTTGGCAGTGCCTGTGAGCAGAAACTCACGAGGCAGAACACTTGGCAAAGCCGGTGTCCACAGTCCAACTCAATGAGACCCAATGAGACTCAATGACTTCAACACTATTGCCAGCAGTTCAACTATTGTAACTATTGCCAGTTGAACTGTTGAACTTTGCAGACTTTGCAGGCAGTTTTGCACACGACGTGACTACCAAGAGCTTCTTCTGCCAGCCTCACCAGCTTCCGGCTGTTTTGGAACTCTACCGCACGGAGGGCCCTCGTTTGGATGCTGCAAGTTCAGGCGCCACACAGCCCATAATTAGAACTGGAAAGATATGCACGCAGAAGTGGAGTCTCCCATGAAATCAAACACTGTTCAAATTTCAAAAGAATTGATTGACAAGAAGAATCAATAAGACACAATATATATATATATTATATAAATTTATATTACATCATATATATTAGTCATGCAGAGTCACAGTCTTTTGCTATGGAGAAAAAAAATGACCACGAGGCGGAAATCGTGCTGAAAGTTGCTTGTCGTTTCCATGCCTCTCACACTCGACAGGCCAAGGCTTTAGCGAGTGCGAGACTATTTTGAGCAAGAAGGATCGTCCCAGGATTCTTGCTCTTTATACAAAGGCGGATCAAACAAAAATGTCAAAAAGATGCCCAAATCTATAGGATGGCCATTGCAGTTTAAGAGTTCCGCGCCCATCACCAGTCCGTGCCATGCTGGTCAGGGTGATATGTGGGCACCGATAGAACACTCTCGCAGACTCAGAGGTGGACGAACCAGGATTGCCGAAAACTCATAGAACAGCAAGGGTAGGTCCAAGTGTCGATATGATATCGATATGCATTCATGTGGCTTCATGTGGCTTCATGCGACTGATGTTGCTTGACGTTGCTTGACGTTGTTTGACGTTGTTTGACGTTGCTTGTCCACAAGTGCACGCCTGGAACGAGGCCTTCTGTCTCAAAAGGATGAGGTCATCGACTTGTCTGCGGATGTAGCTGTAGATGTGTGTCTGGGCGGATTTGTTGGTTTCGAATGGTTTCGATACGAGGGGGCACAGTGTCTTGGTGGTAGGACAGGACCACAGACTCTCTTTCAAAGTGCCAACATGAGAGCAAGAGTGGTGCAAGAGCTGCTTACACAAGATGACATGGAAACCAACAGCTTGGTCTTCCAGTGCCAGCTGAAGTTCGGAAGCCGTGTTTTTCAGGAAGCTCGGAGCTCCTGGACATTCCTTTGTCCTTTCCCGCGAGCATAGCAAATGTGTGGCTGGCGTCGTGGCTGCTTCACTTGCGAGGAATACAGCTGGAAGCGGAACAGGTCGGAACCGGTGAGGCCAAGTGAGGCCGGTGATGGGCAATGTTTTTCTCGGGGCAAAGCACCCTTGTGGCGCGTGGCTCGCGCAGTGCGTCACTTTCCAGATTTGTAGGGACTTCAGTTATCTTAATCTTGATCATCTTCAGTTCTGTTGAATTCCCAATTTTCAGATTAGATCTCATTAGATCTCACTTCAAAGGAGCAAATCAAAGCAAAAAAACGGTGTTTGATCTGTTTCAATTCGTGCTGACGAGTGCAGGATATTTGACCGCCAATGCAGAATGTGCAAGCACCAAACCCCATGCCATGTCGTGTCTTTGTTTGGTGGCATGCCGAACCATGCCACGTCCAGGAGCTGATGGGCAAGACAGTGACCTTTCTAGAAGACTGCATCGGAGAGAAGGCCAATCCCAAAATCAGGGTGACATGGACTGACATTGTGACATTTTCATTTAAGCGGTGTCTTCGGGCCAGATGTACCATCACACTACTTGACTTTTGCACTCTGTACATTTTATACCTTATGAATCCTTATGATAGGATCGATTGCGAGCTAAGCTGCGGTCTTTCAAAAATGAACCCCGGAAGAAAGCCACAGATAGAAAAGCAGATCAATCCTGTCCAGTGATGAGATGCTAAGCCGTCAACGTGCCTCACTCTCCCGTAGGGTTTCCATGAGGGTCTCAACGAACCTCAGAAATGTATTGGTTGAGGTAGAGAGCGCTTGCGCTGATCCTGCACCTGGCTCTGCCGATGCCCAATGGGGAACTGAGCAAACCTCAAAGCTAACAGCTCTTGCTTGATGCACTTGATGCCCTCAAAATCTGAATGAGAGCTGATTTCAAGATCCTGTATATTCAATTTTCCTTCTGGCAGCAGATTTGGCCGCGTGTAGAGTTTTGTTTTGCAAAGGGTGAGTCACTCAGCAGCCATTGGTCAGAAGCAGAGTAGTTCCGCCAAGCTTAGGAATCATATGAATTGTTTGCCGCAGCATTTTCAGGTTTCAAGGGTTGAGGAACTCATTGTAGGTCTCACAGTCGACAAGCTTTGGTTGCTTTTCGACCCCTTGGGGTGATTTCCTGCTCGCCAGCCCCTCAGCAAACATTTTTTGCCTAGATTCTTAGATCTTTAATCCCTTTGTTAATGCAGTGTGCCACGACAAACAGACGCGAAATAGACGCGAAACAAACGCCAAACAGACGCCATGAGTTGGACAACACCTCGAGCAGGGGACAGCTTTGATACTAGGAGGTCAAAAGGATGATATTTACATAGTATGTAGCCATATGGCTGTATGCAAGAATTGCATGAAACTGCAATAGTCACTGCGATGTTGACGACTTCGACTGTGGATGTCCTTATGCCCATGTTGGCCTGGCACCAGGTACACATGTTGAACCTCCCCCTCGCAGTCAGTGGCTGAGAGATGAAGAAATGGAGGGGAAGCCGGGAAGCCTGTTCAAGTAAATTGAAGGCTCAACAAAAATCATATGAAGAAGTCGCTTAATTGAACATCTTTAGAGCCACACTGATAGTCAGACTGACAGTCAGACTGACAGTCAGAAAGTCGCTGAGGATTCATGCCACACTGCTTTGAAGCCTTCTGAGTCCCCTCGAACCTTGGCAAGACCTTCGATAATCGACAGCAAGCAAGTTTGACAAGTGCCATTTGCGGCACATTACCATGATGATCCCTGACCTCTTTCGCATATGTTCTGAAATGACACGTGCTGCAAGGAGATCATGACAGCACCGCATTTCCAAGCGAGGTCAGTCTTGCTGAATTTCTGTGACTTACATGTCGACTTACATGAAGTGCTTTGTTTATCTTGTGGAAAGGGACTGAGAAAGGAGAGATCTTGGGACCTTGCCGTCTGTCTTGCCATGTCTTACCTATCTTGTTTGCCTATGTTTGTTTGCCAGGCTGCTTCTCGCAATTGGACACGCCAAGCCTCGCCAGATACAGATGTGACGCCTGTGGGTCGTACTGTGGACTTCCAGCAGTTGAAGGCATTCGCCAGGGCTTTGAATGGCTTTCATGCAGTGTGTGCCATGTGTTTTGAGACGTTTGGGAAGTGCAAAGTACAGAGGCCGCAGTTCTTCGGGCGAAACTGGAACGTTGCCATGGCGAGTGTGAAGGCGCGGCTTGAGTGAGTGCTTCAACAAGATTGAGGGAAGAACGAAGTTTCCCAATGAGGCTCTAAACTGTGAAGAAGTCATGCAGACCCCCGCAATTGGAGCAATTTGTCCCAGCCAAGACTTGCGGCAAATCAAGCGGAGGTGTCTGAAAATCGGAGAAACTATGGGATAATCGTGGGAATACATAGGAAAATCCACTGCCATTCGGTGGAAGACACATCGATGTGAGCTATGGATAGCTATGGTGTGTAGTGCCGAACAGCTCCTCCATGATTGCTTTATCTACAAAAACAAACACATACCCACACACGCACATATAATATCATGTCATGTCATATCATAAACATAAAGTATTATCTTACATTGTATAGTATTATCTTGTGTTGTGTTGTATTATACTATATTACATTACATTGCATTAATATACATTAATTACATTACAATATATTATATTATATTGCATTATACCAGTAGTACCGCACAAGGCGGTGGCGGAGGTTTCAAAAATAGGAAACCTATAGGAGAGGTTGGTTGTTGTGAATCACGGATGTCAGAGCGAATCCACTGATGGACCGAAAGGTGGTTGAAGTTGTGTTTTTTGGAGTTGTTGCAATGGTTGCAGTGGTCACCTCACCCACAACTGCTGGATGAAGTGTGGTATAGTGCAGTTGCAGTTGTAGTTGTATTGTGGTGTAGTGGAGTTGTAGTTGTAATGTGTAATAAGCGTGGAGTAGTTGCAGTTGTAGTTGTAGTTGTGGTGTGGCGTAATTAGTGTAGCGTATTGTAGTGTAGTGTGGTATAGTGTAGTGTAGTTGCAGTTGTAGTGTGGTGTAGTGTAATTGGTGTAGCGTCGTGTAATGCAATTTAGTGGTAGTTACAATTGTAGTTGCAGTTGTAGTTGTAGCGTAATGTAGTGTAATTAGTGTAGTGTAGTGTTGCGCAATGTAGTGTAGCTGTAGTTGCACTTGTATTTGTAGTTGTAGCGTGCTGCAATGTAATTAGTGCAGTGTAGTGTAATGTGGTGTAGTTGATATTGTTGTTGTAGCTGTGGTAGTAGCAGCTGTTGTAGTTGTAGTGTACTTAGTGTAGTGTAGTGCAATTAGATGTAATTAGTGTAGTGTAGTATAGTGTAATTAGTGTGGTGTAATGTAGCGTAGTTTATTTGTATTTGTAGCTGTAGTAGTAGTGTAGTGTAGTGGTAGTGGTAGTGGTTGTTGTAGTTGTAGTTGTCTATCTATCTATCTGTCTACCTGCAAGCTTGAAAACGAAGCTATTCTACGAGACTTCCTCAATTTTTGACTTTGACAACATCAAAAACACAAGTAAAGGACCGGACAACCCCACAAGGTAACTTCTTCCAATAATGAGAGCACCAAATGTTGCAGCGGGGACAGGGAAAGAAGGAAAGACAAAGGATGTGGTGAAGGACCGACAAGTAAAACAAAGTTGTGTGTGACAAAGTTGTGTGTGAAAGATGGTGTGTGACAAAGGAAGATGGTGTGTGTGTGACAAAGTTGTGTGTGAAAGATGGTGTGTGTGAAAGTTGTGTGTGAAAGAGAGCGTGTGACAAAGTTGTGTGTGAAAGATGGTGTGTGACAAAGTGGTGTGTGAAAGATGGTGTGGCGAAAGATGGTGTGTGACAAAGTTGTGTGTGAAAGATGGTGTGGTGAAAGATGGTGTGTGACAAAGTGGTGTGTGACAAAGTGGTGCCAGCCACCAGAGCCACCAGAGCTAGCCCAGTGCCATAAGTGCCACGTGAAACGAAGGTAGATGTCTCCAAGTGCCACGCCTGCCACGCAAAGTGCCGCGGCGTCACCGGCGACTAATCCCAGCCCAAGCGCGCCACCAGAGCCAGCCCAGTGCCATAAGTGCCACGCCTGCCACGCGAAACGAAGGTGGATGTCGCCAAGTGCCACGCCTGCCACGCAAAGTGCCGCGGCGTCACCGGCGACTAATCCCAGCCCAGTGCCAAGAGTGCCAGGCCTGCTACGCAGAACGCAGGTAGATGTCTCCAAGTGCCACGCCTGCCACGCCTGCCACGCAAAACGAAGCTAGATGTCGCCAAGTGCCACGCCTGCCACGCAAAGTGCCGCGGCGTCACCGGCGACTAATCCCAGCCCAAGCGCGCCACCAGAGCCAGCCCAGTGCCATAAGTGCCACGCCTGCCACGCGAAACGAAGGTGGATGTCGCCAAGTGCCACGCCTGCCACGCAAAGTGCCGCGGCGTCACCGGCGACTAATCCCAGCCCAGTGCCAAGAGTGCCAGGCCTGCTACGCAGAACGCAGGTAGATGTCTCCAAGTGCCACGCCTGCCACGCCTGCCACGCAAAACGAAGCTAGATGTCGCCAAGTGCCACGCCTGCCACGCAAAGTGCCGCGGCGTCACCGGCGACTAATCCCAGCCCAAGCGCGCCACCAGAGCCAGCCCAGTGCCATAAGTGCCACGCGTGCCACGCAAAACGAAGGTATACGTCGCCAAGTGCCACGCCACGTGGAAAACAAAAGATGGTGCGTAAAAGATGGTGGTTGACAAAGATGTGTGTGAGAGATGGTGTGTGAGAGATGGTGTGTGAAAGATGGTGTGTGAAAGATGGTGGTTGACAAAGATGGTTGACAAAGATGGTGTGTGAAAGATGGTGTGTGTAAAAGATGGTGTGTGAAAGATGGTGTGTGAAAGCTGGTGGTTGACAAAGATGTGTGTGAGAGATGGTGTGCGAGAGATGGTGTTTGAGAGATGGTGTGTGAAAGATGATGGTTGACAAAGATGGTTGACAAAGATGGTGTGTGAAAGATGGTGTGTGAAAGCTGGTGTGTGAAAGATGGTGTGTGAAAGATGGTGGTTGACAAAGATGTGTGTGAAAGATGGTATGTGAAAGACGGTGGTTGCAAGATGGTGTGTGAAAGATGGTGGTTGACAAAGATGTGTGTGAGAGATGGTGTGTGAGAGATGGTGTGTGAAAGATGGTGTGTGAAAGATGATGGTTGACAAAGATGGTTGACAAAGATGGTGTGTGAAAGATGTGTGTGAAGAGGAGGCGGCGGGAGGCGGTAGGAGGCGGGGAGGCGGGGAAGAACTCGGGATACAGAATCAAAAACAAGAACCCCACACAAAGATGTGGGGAACAATTCTGCGAGACTTCCTCAAAATTTGAAGTTGGCAGCATCAAAAACGAAGCAACTCTGCGAGACGTTCTCAGTTTCCAAGTTGACAACATCAAAGTCAAAAACGAAACAATTTTGCAAGACTTCCTACAACTGCCTCGTACCAATGCGTTTTGCGATTTTTCCACTCCACCGGTCTAAAGTGCTGCGCCTGCCACGAGAAATTGATGCCAGGTCATACGAAGTACTGCACCTGTCACACAAAATCATCTTAGCAAACCTGCAGCTCTGATGCTCCAAAATGCAACCCCTCTCAGGAAATCAGCGCCTGGACCTCCATGATGAACATGTCTCTTGTACTGCGCCTGCCACGGAAAATGCATCTTTGCAGATCCTCTGCATATGTCCCACGCCTGCCATCGTTTTTGGAAATGCCACAAAACCCTCAGGTTTTGCTCACTTTTGACAAGGTGCACAATCCCCATCGCCTGCCACGCAAAATGACATCTGAACAATGTCCAAAAGTGCTCCGTACCCCCCCCATTTTTTGCATTTTTGACTTCGACATATGCTTCGGGCCACAACGGCATCTCAACTTCCAAAAGTGCTCTGAACCCGTCAGTTTTTACACTTTTGACTTGGAAATGTGCTTCGCGCCACAACGGCGTGCACTCTTTCGACATCGAAGCTCTTAAAAGTGGTCCGAGCATGGTGTGTTTTGTTCATTTTGACCACATGGCTCCGCACCTGCCGCTTTAGCGAGCCTACTACTTTCGACCCCCCGGAGCCACAAATCATTGGAAAAACACAGTGTTTTGCGACTTTCCTACCTTTGCGCACCTGGATCTTCTTTCTTCTGTCACTTTCTCTTTTTTGATCTTCTCTTCTCTCCTCTCCTCTCCTCTTCTCTTCTCTTCTCGTCTCTTCTCTTCTCTTCTCTGACTCTTCCACCTCTGCTTTTCATCTGTCCATATTGTCGGAAGTTTGACTTCTAAACTTCCTTCGATCACGTTATATGCCATTATATTGCATTCGGTGCATCATCTTATATTGCGCTTCATTGTGTTACATTTCATTACATTGCATTTCATTAAATTGCATTTCATTTCATTTGATTTCATTTTGTTGCATAATACCACAATACACAATACATTACATGATGTTACATTATCTTACATTCTGATACATTATGTTATGTTGTGTGATATGACATGATATGATGCATGCTATACATGTCGATCTTCGAACCAGAGCAAACTGCGCAATTTCTCTATGCTTCCAGCTGCTTCCAATCTCGGGCCCAAGGCAGTCCTCAACAACACGATGATGACGAGGCCCGCTGGCCCGTTGGCCCGTTCTCAAAAGTGCAGCCATAGATTCCAAACCTCCCATGTTTCACCAGCCTCATAGTGATACAGGAGGAATCTGCGGTTGCCGTCCATCGTATTGCAATGGCAGCTCGACGATATGCCTCTGGCTCACCGACGCCTGCCTGAATCATTCGCTTGCTATAGTGCTGAATTTTTGACAGCAAACTGACTGTTGATCGTTGCAATTCCATTTGCGAAGACATTGTTTCAATTCTTTCACAGATATTTTGGAAAGAGTGTTTAACCGCGTTCAACAAAATCAGATGAGAACATGCCTCGGTCATCTAAGGAGCGACTCTGAAGATGATGATCCGGAGACTGTGAGAAGGCTTTGCGTGGCTGTGCGACGCCTTGCAAAAGGGCAGTAGCAAGAGTCCTTCGCCCCGGAACGGACAACTTTGTTTTCCAGGGGCAGCGGGGGGATCTTGTGGAGATTGAAAGTGTCAAACATCACTTTCTTTCTCCTAGGAAGAGAGAAACAATGAGCTGCGTTTGTTCGGTGATTGCTATGCAGACTAAACCAGGAGAAAGAAACAAAGATAACAAATTGAGTTTGGAGAAAGGGAGCAGCTTCTTCATTCAATCAGAGAAAAAAAACATTTCGCCGACCCATTTTCCGCAGCTCATGCGCACCCAGTTTCCACGTCGCCGTTTGGAACAGCTAGACGTGAACGTGCAAGCTTTTGTTCCGGAGTTTCAATCTCTACTCTCTAGAGTCCTTTGGGGGTACCATGCTAAGCGGAGTGTTCAGAGCCAGTTTTGAGCCGAACATCTTCCATTGCGAGCTCTGGAGAACGCTAGTGTGCTCAAAGTCGAATGTTTGAATGGCGACTAAACTGACCACTGGAAGCACGCACGAGTCTTGTCTTCGAATGATACAGACACTATCAGGCCTCATACATCAGTTTCGTTGAGTTTGAAGTTTGAAGTTTTGCGTGGTCTGAGCAAAGTTCGGCCTTTGCAGATTTGAAGCTTGACTTGGCGCCTGGGACACCACAGCTGAAGATATTTGATGCTAGGGTCATCTAAGGTCATCTAAGGTCATAGCTGCGTCATAGCTGTTTGTGAGTCATCTTGGGCAAGGGTCAATAGGTCCGGTCCTGCAACTTTCCTGAAGCAGCTGTCGGAACCGAGGTGTGTGGCACAATGGCTCTTGAAATTTTTGAAACACCTTAAATTATACTTCAAGTATATAATTCACCCCGCTTCGCGTGGGGTGGCCGCCCACACCGCAGGTTTATTTCGGTCCGTGAGAGGGGCTAAGGGTGGTTTTCCCCCGTGGGGGCTCCCCAAGCTAAGAATTTTTTCCCCCGTGGGGGCTCCCCAAGCTAGGGAATTTTCACTTTTCCCCCCCGTGGGGGCTCCCCAAGCTAGGGAATTTTCACTTTTCCCCCCCCGTGGGGGCTCCCCAAGCTAGGGAATTTTCACTTTTCCCCCCCGTGGGGGCTCCCCAAGCTAGGGAATTTTCACTTTTCCCCCCCGTGGGGGCTCCCCAAGCTAGGGAATTTTCACTTTTCCCCCCCGTGGGGGCTCCCCAAGCTAGGGAATTTTCACTTTTCCCCCCCGTGGGGGCTCCCCAAGCTAGGGAATTTTCACTTTTCCCCCCCGTGGGGGCTTCCCAAGCTAGGGAATTTTCACTTTTCCCCGCCGTGACAGCTTCCCAAGCTATGGAATTTTCACTTTTCCCTCCCTTGGAGGCTCTCCAAGCTGCGGAATTTCAAATAGCTAGACAACGACGCCTAGATAGTCCCCCAAATCCCGTGTTCTTTGAATGTGTTTCCATGTTTTTGCAATGGTTTCCTTCAAAGCACGGTACTTTACACTTTTGTCGCCATAAAACCGGTCGAAAACATCATGTTCGACAATGCTTCCAATTCCCTTATCTCCCCAACCGTTGAAAATACCGCTATTTACAGTGTTTTCTTCAATTTTTCCATGTTCCAATGCCGGTAGCCAACTCCAACATATATATAAGAAATCCTTCCAAAACATTGTTTTTGACAGTGTTTTTCCAATGTTTCCAGTCAAACAGACGGTAATTTACACGTTTTTTGCTATAACGTCAGTCCAAAACACTTGTTTTTGCAGTGTTTTCAATGCTCTGGCATCCAAAAACCCTGCAAAATCTTGCTATGTACAATGTTTTTTTCATTTTTGGCCGTTTTTCCATTGCCGGAAAGCTACCAAAATGACCCAAAATTCCATTTCAATACCCTCTTGCGCTCAGACACCCAAAAATCCTCGAAAAATGTCGAAAACACCACCGTATTCTGGTCTCGGTGCGAAACCGTTTTTGCCCCCCCCCCAGCTAAAGCTGATATAGCGACTGCTATATTAACAAATGTCATTGAGCATTTAGTGTTGCTGTTTTGCCCCCCAATAAGCACGCCTTCACCGCCAAAGCGGTGTGGGCGGATTCAAGATTTTCAAGTATAATAAGTAATACTTTATTTATATTTATTTATGTTATTGGCAGAGGATCAACATGAGCATCACCAGCCTCAGCTTCTCTAAAGTGAGTTATTTGGAAGAAATTCTAAAGTGCCACTTCAGCCAGGGTAGAAATGCAGCATCCCCTGACGGGATTGCAATGCCTGGAAACCAATGGAAACTGGGTTATTGCAGACGAATTCATTCCATTCCGCTGCTCCAAAGTGGTGCTGGCTGTGGGTGTGAAGAGCGCTTGCAGTCTGTGCCAGATACAGAGCACCTTTGCAAAAGGCTGGCCATCCTCATATTCTTTAAGCCTCCATTGCACGCTCCAGTACATGGAAACACATAAAGCACATTCATAGACCAGTTGACATGTTTGGACAATTCAACCCTTCGACTTCAACTCCCCGGTAGAACATGCCTGCAAGCTCTCAGGATATCCCATGATGTTTCTGAATTCTCCTGGACTTCGTTCATCATGGTGTACAGTTTATTTTTGATTGACAGTGACATATGACATGTTATTCTGAGCGTTTCCATGCCACACCATTGCAGTATTTTTTTAGTATCAGTTCCTGTCATCCTTACGAATCGATGCCTGGCCCCCAAACAAACACCAGAGAGCTTTAGAGCTGATTTTTTTCTCCAAGATGAGTGGCCATTAGCAAAGAAAACCATCCCATAGCTCCTAGGACTTTCACAGATACTGAAGGCATATTACTTTTATAATCTTTGATATTACTTTCAGATTCACACACACACACACCACACAGCAACTCAGTAGGATACAGTCTGTCGAGTAGATGGGTGTCAATGTTTGTGCGGATTGTGCAGGAAAATGCATCGCAAGGGGTAGCCACATGCAGTCACAGATGCCTCAAGAGGTGTTGCTCCGGAGCGTGCTTTGGATCTAGCGGGACGCCACGTTTGCCAGTCAGACATTGGCGACGCGCTAAGGGATTTCAAGCCTTACCACAACCAATCAAGATATATCAAGACTTTCTTAAAATGGATTGTCCTTTTGACCCTTTCTCGTCCCTGATGCAAGGAGTCTCTTGACTTCAATAGTTTTTCTGTCGTGGTTGGGTTGAGTTCCACTGAGAGGTGGCCAGCACTTGTTTGCAATGTGTGCGAGAAAAATGGCTGCCTTCCTGCAGCTCAGTCTCTGCTAAGGTGCTTCACACATCTTCACACAGCAAGAATAATGTGCATTGCAGCTGTACGGCAAAGGATCTGTTCCCACTACTGCTTCGACGCAAGCCCGGGCCAAGGTGATTCTCCTAGAGAACTTGCGTTTCCACATCGAAGAGGAGGCGCTGTCACAATGAAATGTTCCTATTAACTCTTGCTTCCCGAGTTTTATGGGTCAAGGAAATATGGTGGAAAAAAGTGGACTGCTTGGACTGCTCGGACTGCTCGTAGTCTATGCCAGGGCAAGCGCACCGAAAAGGGCGATGATGGTAGCGACCTCGAGAAAGATGTGCCTTCGGGTCTTTGGCAAACAGTGAATCAAGTGCCAAAATAAGTAAGTGTCTAAAGAGTCTGATTCTCTCCTCTCAAGCCTTTTAATTTCAAAGCTCTCAATATCAGCTCGTTCACAGTGAATGCATGTTGTTAGACTCTTGCCAGAACTGAACAGCCAATTCTATCCAAATGATCTGGAACTTGCTACAGACAAGTATGGTAGGGAGAAACTGAACCAGATTTGTCGGCCGGGCATCAAGCAATGCCTTCGGTTCGTTCCCACAAGCAGGCCGGGTGACCAGATAAGATTGGCAAGTTGAAAACGGAAAAATATGACGTGATTGAATTGATCCTGAGCATTCCTAAATCCAGCTGAGCCCAAATCCTGTGAAACGTTCTTGATACAACTTCTCCACAAGTCAAATCGCAAACGTCCGCAACAGTCTTTTGCGCACCATGTGGATCCATGTGGCACTGGCAGATCTGGCAACCTGTTCCAGGGCAGCCTGGCCAACGATGGGGAGCGTTGGAATTGCAGCATGTGCCAGGCGGGATCTCAGGGTCCAGTGGAGATGAAATAATATTAATTTAGACAGATTTAGACATGTTAAGAATTGTTAAGACAAGTCGAGACGATGCCAGGTCCAAGAGAGGTATACCGAGTTTGTCAAAAGTTGCTACTGTTTGAGCCATCGAACCAACATTTTCTGTGATTGGGTCATTGATAAAAAGTCAAAAAGGGTCTAGATTGAGTCTACATGAGGCACAGAGGCTCAAAGAAAGCTGGCAGTTGTGGTGTGGTGAGTGGAGTGAGAGGAATCAGATCTAGCGAATCTAGCGGCTAGCGGCCATAGCTTGAGTTGAAGACAGTACAGAGTTCCTCAGAGCCTGCGAGATTCCGAGTTGCCTCATGGCTAACGGAGTTCGTTCTTGGGTTTTTCAGATTGGTGCTGCAGCCCTGCTTGTTCTGCTATTCTCCAGGGCCTATGGCTACACAGGAATCGGCAAATATATGAAGAATGTCATGGAGTCTGCAATTTTCTACATTGAATCTTCAGAGTATGCAATGATGGCATACTTAGCTTTCACGGTGGTTGGTGTCATCGCTTTGGTTCCAACAACCGCAATGGAATTCTCTGGTGGATTCTTGTTCGTACCCAAGTACGGATTGCTTGGCACCTTGCTTTTTACCTGCGCCGCAAAGTTTGTCGCCAATGTCATAGCGATTACTTTGGCCAAATATGTCCTTAGAGACTGGGTCAGAAGAAGCTTTGTGGATCGATCAGAGCTTTTGAGCTTGGTTGCAGAGGCTGCAAAAGATGAACCTTACAAAATGGCCTTCCTGGTCAGAGGTTCCTATGCTCCTCTGAGCGTCAAGAATTATGGCTTAGGTGTTTTGGACATTGGCTACCTCCCAATTATGGCCACTTCGTGCATTTTCTCACCCTTCTATGCAGCTCAAAACATTTACATGGGCAGTGCTTGCAAAAGTTTGCAAGAAGTCTTCGCACCTACGAAACAAAATCAAGAAGTGGAAGTTGATGACTTCACTTCATGGATGCATGCCCTGAAGGCTGCAATGCCTGTGGTGCTGAATGTGCTGCTGGTCCTGTTCCTCATTCGTGCCATCAAGGCGCAGCTGAAAAAATCTCGCAGCGCCATGGAGGCCAAACTCAAGAGCAAATGAGAAGAAGGATGGAAAAAGGATGGCAAAGGCCAAAGGTCGCCATGGAACTTGGCTTCGCATCGAGGCCATCCCCAAGTCAGACTGTGAGAAATGTGACAAGCAAAGCCACAAAGCAGATATTATTTACGACATGATATGACATATTATGATTCGATTGAAGCAACCGCTTGCTGAAAGAATTTTCGCCACAACTTGTACAGTGAAAATGTGGTTTGGTAGCCTGGCTGAGATTGGTTCGCAGTCAGGTCTTGGAGTGTCTGTCAAGTCGGGAGAATTTCCAAAATGGATAGCGCAAAGTGTAGAAGACATCACGCACAGAATCGCGCAGAGCGCTTGCCAGACTGTGACAGGGTCCCGAGAAACTGCAGCTTGATGCTGTACGCTATCAAGTATGCCACCCAAAAAAGTGCGATGGAAGTCTCTTTAGCTCAGCGATGGTACTGTATGTGGCGAGTCCTGCCCATGATGATGATGATGATGATGATGATGATGATGATGATGATGATGATGATGAGTCTGAGTTGATTAGCCCCTGGTTGGCTTAAAACGTTTGGCCAGTTTTGGTGCGGGGTATTGGCACGCCAACAAGATCCGATTCTGGGCATTATAAGTCAGTCACTTAGTTTTTCACGAGGCGGCGGCCTTTGCTGGGTGGCTTCCCATGCGCTCAGTCGTGGTGAAATCCTTGAGAGTGGTGAGGAACGAGTTATGCTGAGAGTTGCATTGATGTCAGAAATTGTCAGAACATATCCAATGTCAGCGCATGTTGCTCATGTTTGAGTGCCACTTGAGTGCCCCAAAATGCCCCAATGATTTGATTTTCACAGGCCCTTCCATGCATTTCACTTTGTGGAGCTGTCCTTTGCGTTTTGCCACACACTTCCTGGGATTTCTGACGTAGGCACCTCTGGCCTGCTGGTCCCTTATCCCGGGCAAGCAGATGGAGGCACGACCGCATCACAAGGTTGACTTGTTTCCACATTGAAAGAACTGAAGGGTTGAGTTAGACTTATGGCTTAAGACTGAAGGCTTGTGAAGGCTTGCAAAGCTTTGCGTTTGCGAAGTGCAGCACAACTTGTTTGAAGCGCATTGAGAGCACTGGGTCGACGAGTGTAACAAATGCAATGTATTTTGACCGAAGTGCAGCAATGGCATTGGATTATATAGTATAAAACGTGGTCATACTATACTTCCACTTGTATCATGTTATATATATATTTTACATTTTAGGGTCACATAGGATCACCTTCATGATGGAGTACTCTCATGTTCGAAACAGGCTTCTTGCAGAGCGTTCCTGCAGCTGTCGGCACGGAAGCAGCATGTCTGGCAACGCCTCACCAGCGGTGATAGTAATATGCCCGAGGACTGGCCAGACTGGGCTGACTGGCCCGAAAGTTTGAAAGGCGATTGCAGTGATCAAAGTTGACGATTCAAGATGTTCTAGTCGTCCCGTCGTACCATGTCGTACCTAGTCAGTCTAGTCACTTGAATTTGAGCATTGGAGACAAAGCCCAGGATGAAAGCGTAGCTGAAAACATAGTATAGTACAGTACAGTGAAGTATAGTATGTAACATTATGTAACAAATCTCTATTTTGCTCTGTGGTTTTTGAATATCTTTAAGGGTCTCGAGCCTTTGGAGGCACAGCATCTCCTTGCATCGTCAAATGCGATCGCATCAAAAGTGGCGGGAGAACTTCATCACGGGCACTGCGGTGTAGACGTGAGGGCCACTGAAAAAGAACCTTGGCCACAATCCAGGTGAACAAATTGGTTCAATGCTCAGTTCAATTTTTTGGTTCAGTGATTGGGGATGACGTGCAAAATTGACACAGATTCGGCACTCAGATATACTGCAGATATACGTTGATCACGACGAGACATGCGCAAATTGAAGGCATCTATGGTCGCAAAAGCTGCCATCATTGCGCATCTTAATGCCTTTTGCACAGAGCACGGCCTGGCCATCTATGAAAACTGCTCTAGGCATTTGAATTTGGAGCTGGGTATGGCTGGTATTACACAGCATGTCAATCGTTTACTCTCAAACTCAACATCATTATTTACCACCGCCACCACCACCACCACCACCACCACCAGCAGCAGCAGCAGCAGCAGCATCACCGTCGTCGTCGTCGCCGTCGTCATCATCATCATCATCATCATCAAGAATTTCGATTGACTGACGTGACCAATGCTGGGCATGAGACAGCTTTGCACAGATGCTTGCAGTCAGAGCTTGCTGCAAGATGTTTGAAGTGCGGCCGAAGGTTCAACCACTCCTGCGTGCCAAATGCTGAGTACGGTGTCAACGAGCAAGGCCATATGAAGGTGAGAGTGATCAAACCAGTCGCTCAAGGAGAGAAGGCCGGCTTGCCCCAGTCTTTCCATCAGAAGTACCCCCGCTCTTGCCATCTGCATTCTTTCACACTAGAGTCACTAGAGATTTGCTATGGCTGCTATGGCATGATTTTGAATGTGAAGACTCTCTTCTGTTGGCTTCAATGTCCGCCCTCACGCCAGGTGTGCTTCTCCTACCTTGGCGATTCACTACTGTCTCGAGAGCCGAGGCAACCGTTGATATTTGTTTGGACGTGGTGCTTACAGCATGTTGCCGCTGCAAGTGTTGCTGCAAACTCTCAAGAGTCATTCGTTGGTTGTCCCCCTGATTTTTCTGCGGTTTTCGTTTTCTACTTAGCACAAGGATTGCTTTAGAGCTAACAACAGCTTTCAAAAGCTTTGCGTGACTTGATGCGAGGCAGCAATTCTTGCGGCATCGTTATTTTTTTGACTGTGCCTGTGATCTTTGCAGCCTACCTGAAGATGTGCTCGCTGGAAGGGTGCTGGCCCCAGACAACAGCCACATTATACCGGACGGGGTCACGATGAAGTCAGCACTGCATTTCTTGCGCTGAGAGCGAGAATACTTACTGTATTTTTTTTTTTGGTGTCACAACATTTCGCAACGAGATACAACGACAAATCTTATTCAAACCATTTTGGACTGCCGCAGCACTGCAGTGCTTTTGCCAGTTGTTTCAATGACATCAACATGTGCAATATGTATATAATCATGCGATGATGCTCCATTGTCAGGGCACAGTCAATGTATTTGGTTGACAGGCGTGCTGTGACACACAACGGCTGCTTCCGAGCGAAACGTGCAGTCATTGTGGCAGTGGTCAGGAGCTGATAGGGGTAGCTAAGTTGGGCGAGTCATGCCCCATGTCACTGGATGCTCCAATGTGAAAGAACATGAAGATAAAAGAAAAGAGATGAAAAGAGATGAAAAGAGATGAAAAGAGATGAAAAGAGGCAGAGAGTGCAGAGAGTGTTCGAAGAATTTGACAAATTGCGATGTGCTCGACACGAACGGTCTAGGACATAGATTCCGCGGATCTCCTTGAAAGATCGGTGCACTTTGGCAACGGATCAAGTCTGGGGCAGAAGTTACCATAGAATCGCTGGATATCAAACAGAACACATTACTGATTCAAGCGGGGGGGGGGGTACAGTAGTCGCCCCATGAATGAGCCAGTTCTTTCCTGTTTTACCACTACCTTCTTCATGTCGGCGTTTGGGCGTGTGGGATGCAGACGTGGGTCGGGAAATGTAGACGTTGCGGCAAGTATGTTTTCGACGAAACACATGTCAATGTCAGAATTGTTTTGAATTGTTCAAGTTTCGTTTGCTCTTGCATCTTTGTACTTGCTGCTTTTCCTTGATGTTTTGCCGAGGGCAACTTTGGCCATGCAGGGTGAGCCGTCCGAGCATGAAATACAGCAGCTACAAGAAACTTGCAGGCTGTGGACCAGTCGAGCTACACTCTTCCAAATTTAACGGCTTCAGTACGGGTGGCAAGATGGGGGCAGAAACGGACAAGTAGTGACACATGTTTCCCACATCACCCGATGAGAGAAAATGCTGACGAAGACAGGTACTAGTAGGGTCATTTTTGCGACGCATCGCATTGAGTTTCCAGGAAGCTGCACCTGCAATTCCATGCTGTTGCTGCAACTTGGCACAAAAAAGTTGCCATGAAGTTGCTTTGTGTCCTTTGCGAACACAAGATGCTGCTTTGCGCTTGAAGCCTTTTGTCAGGCCCGCCTTTCCCTTCTATCCTTTCATGCTAGAGTTGCTATGCTGGCGCAAATTGGCATGAACCTGGAACTCGTGTACAAGGATAGTTTGGCGCATGAGAATCCATTGAGCAGCCGGTGCATGTATTTGTTGTGAAGCTGTCGGTGTGCCGTGGACTTGTGTGGACCTACTCTCCCGCACAGTCGCCTCACCGTTGGCAGGGAGTATTCACTTTTTCGATCTTACTCCATTCAAGGTCATGTTTTGGCCTTGTGACTCTATGAGAAAGAGTGAATTTGCGAAAGGCCTGGGAAGATCTTCAATTTCTGCGTGGTTGCACGTTCGCAGTTAGAACATATTAGAACATATTAGAACAAGATAGAACCACGTAATTTCTTTTCCAAGCCATCGATGCTCCTCGGTCGTGGGCCTAGCTAGAGCCTCCCGAGGCTGGTTTTATGCAGACTGGCAGCTTGGACTGAGAGTTTTGGCCGGTTGGACACCGTTTGGACAACGTTTGGACATGTTGGACAACTGTTGGACAGTCTCTTGGAGCCTTTTGATGGAAGTACAGTGAGAGATACTGGGAGTGCATGATTCTTGTTCGACGCTGAGGAATCCGTTAGAGCACTGCTTTTTGGTGCATCTCTTTGAACCTATGCTGGACATGCTTCAGCATTTGAAAAGGCTGACATGACAAATCATTCCACAACTCACTTAGAAGTAGATGCTCAAGAGGTGGATGACAGATACTGCATCAAACAATATTTTTTAGAGTGCCCTGTTTCTTAGGAGTATGCATTGACGCTGGCAATGCATGCGCAGGTATCACAAATCCGAGCACAGAATTATTGGGTGCTTGAAGCAGTGGCTGAGAGACAAAAGATCCTTTCGAGCTCCAAGCGCCTGATATTTTCGATGCAACTCATGCCTTGCATTTGCAATTTCGCCCAGCATAATTACTTGATAATTACTTCATATGCATGATTAAATTGTGGCCTTGGCCGTTTCCAGAGAGTGGCAGATTGCTCAACCTGACTCAACTTAAGCATTTAAGCCCTGAGATCAATACAGGCCAATCGCAGCAATCAGCAAATCCCTTTCGTTTTTCGAATTTCAGAAAGACCGGAGGAGATACCGAGATACATCGAGATACCATGAGACACCGATACTGAGGCGAGAAGAAGGAGATCAAGGCCGGCGACGATGAGGTGAAGGCCTGGAGCACGCAGATTTCGACGGGCGATGTGTTTGGTTTAACGACGCTACAAAATTGTACAAATACATGCAAAAATGATTAAATACGTAAAAAAACATCGTAAAAGATCGTAAATACTCTAGTCACTTTAGTCTGTAACTCTGAACTGAAAATCTTTTACAGGATTAAAGTTAGGCGTAGTCCACGACGCAAAGCACCGTAGTTCGGGCCGTAAAGGATGTGTGTTTAAGGCACCCCGCTGCCTTTTTTCACACTTGGATCGTCATGGATTTCAGATCTGGCTCTGGATGAAACTTGAGGCTTTCCGAGCATCGCTGTCAAAGCTTGGCCGGGCGCCCCAATTTCTAGACTACGACACGTTGGAGGACGAATATCAACAAACCACAAGGAAACCAACACAGATGCACTGGATGCACCTTATCTATCCTTATCTGTGTTCATGTGCACCGACTCAGTGTGAACCAGCAAGAGAAGTCTTTACCACTCCCTGCAGCACTTGGCTTCAAGATTTTCCGCTCGTGCAACCCCTCCAGTTGACATGATGCGCATTTTGGTGGGGAGCTTAGTCACAACGTTGTCGCTGGTTTGCGGTCCGGCAGGCACAATTTGCACAAGGCATTCAACCAATCAGGGCCCGTGCCGTGCATCGCCTTGTGCATCGGTGCCTAGGCTCTCGCCGCCGCAGCACTTGGCGCCATTGCCTTTGTCGGCCCAGTGGTCCCAGCTGAGCCCAAGACCCGCGTGTCGCTCCGAGCCAGTCTCAAGGAGCCAGAACACCAGGCCATGGTGCCATGGTGCCATGATGTGTCATGGAAGTTGAAAGACGCCTAGAGATCCTAGAGACTCACAATGGTTCACGGCCACTGTGAATGTGGGGATCTTGCTTGGTTGATGATGTTGAATGGTGAAGCATGCAATGAAGTATGTGTTGAAGTATGTGTTGGAGTGCAGGCCAAGGAAATGCAAGGGCCCTGGGCAGGTCCCCGCACAGGGAAAATTGTAGAGTCAGCAAGACTTAACGACATAAATGATATAGACAACTCAAAGAATTAGAGTATGAAGGGACTGAAAGGAATGCAAAATCATCCCAACACAGTCAAGTGTTTTGTGAAACGATTGCAAAATGGGCAAAATGGCTTGGGGTAAACCTGAAAAGGCTCCTGAGCAGAGCCCCCTTCGAGTGGGTGGCGCCTTTCTGTCCATGATGGCTGCGTTGGCGCTTGTGTGGCTGCCCGTGCAGGCTCGGTTTCTGTTGCTTCATGTTTGCTTCATGGTTCATTTCATTTTGCCTCGTGTTGCACGTCGAAGACAAGCAACGCAATTGATCAATTTCGAGCCTGACAAAATCTGAGATGTTCAGACACACTTGGAGGTTTTGGCGATGTATTCGCGTGGTACGGCCACTACTGGTTGTACTGGTTCAATCTTTGTGTCATTTTGTGTCTCCTGGCTGAAGCGAGTGAATCGACGGCAACCTAGGAGGCACAGGCTGCACGCTCCGGTGGCCGTATTGGTGGTTCTGCCCCAGCTGCTCGTAGCCGGCCACCTCCTCGTGCTCCTGTTGCCAGCAGCAGCAGCAAGACCGCGGCAGGGGACGAGTGTTTCGGTGCCTTTGGGTATTTTGTTTGTCCTAGATGATAGTTTCACAACTCAATTTCTTGATAGATCACAGGAAAAGGAGATGTGGCTTGAAACCTTTGACAATGAATGAACACATTTGGCTCATTTTGGCTCATTTTGACTCATCTTGGCTCTGTCTCTGTTTCTCTCTCTCTCTCTCTTTCCTCTGTTTGTGCTTCATAGACACCGTCATTTTTGTCCACTTTGCATCTCATTCCAGGACCACCGTGATCAACAAGACCACCGTCATCGCTCCGCCACCTGTGGTTGCTGCTCCACCCATGGGAATGGGCATGGGAGTTGGCTTCGCTCCTGCCCCGGTTTGGAGCTGAGTGCGGAGATAACCGTCAGAGAACCTTTGGCTACAGTGAGGTTGCTGGCAAGTGCTTTGACAAGTGTTAGGTCAATGCAAGCCCATGCCCGCCGGCCGATGGTTGCGATTTGGTTGTCATTCAAATGGGAAGGATCGTGTACATGAGGTGGTCGTGGCACCTGCTCCTACCCTTGGCGATGTGGTTGTTGGAACTGTCGTTGGAGGGGCCATCAACAACGCCATCACAGGAGGCAGGAACTTCTGTGATCTGTCGAATTTTCATCCGAGTTCCATTCAAAGTTAAGCCCGTGCAGAAAGAATATAAGACAATGCAACGAATTCCACTAAAAGTGTGAGTCCATATACATCCACATAGAGATGCTTTGGTTTTGGCTGAAATTGTGGTCAGTTGATGTCAGTTGATGTTAGTTGCATTCTTTGCCGATATTTTGCAACAGAATTTCTCAGGGCACAGCGGACCCAGCAACACCGACAGACTCCTGGAGAACCAGCAGCGTCAGGAGAGTTTATTGTTGGATTCTCAGGATGGCATAGCTTATGGATGCTTATGGATCTTATAGATTTACTAATGGATCTACTTATATATATAGATCTTATAGATGTTATAGATCTTATAGATCTTATAGCTTTTTGAATATCTGGTATGCCTCTTGTTGATGATTCTTCTTAGCTTGAGAGCTGTGAAATTTGAAATTATGTAGGATGAGCGCCAGATTGACAACCAGCAGCGCGAGATTGAGCTGTTGAAGTCGGAGATCCAGAACCTGAAGTCCAAGTGAGCGGCCAATCGCATGGCTCAAACGACCCAACTGGCGCTCAGTGGGAGAGCGTGCCTAAGTGATGAGGGAAAGATACAAATCCTCGGAAGAGGCCATGTCGGTCTCTAAGTTTTCCAAGAGTTTTGTGCTTTTTGTGCTTGAAGGCTTGCCATGCAACAATTTTGAGGTTGAGCAAGTTGAGCTATTTCAAAATGCCCGTTTGCTTTTCAACGTATTTACATATTTTGGTAATTCTTTACAATCTTTAGCATGGAAGCCGCGATGCAATTTGTGCTGCCTTAGCGTAACATGCTGTTCCAATTCCTGTAAATCTTTCTGGCACACCAAAGCTAGAAGCTTCCAGAATGAAGTTTGTCCATTTGCAGTGCTGTGATTCAGCAGACAGGAATTCTTTGGCAGCTTGGTCAATCAGCTCTGTAGTGTTTAATTTCCAAGTGGATGGTCAGATCGCAGAAGTCATAAACATAGGTCGTTGACGTCTGGCTCTGCGTGGTGACCGCTGCTCACGCCGGATCGGCTTGGACCGAGAGATCTTTCGGACAGACCATGGCGTGCAACATGTTCCTGTGAAAAAGATGGCGCAGCATGGCGCAGCATGGCGCAGCACGCAGAACGTTCCAAGGTCTAGCTGAGTCTAGCTGAGTCTAGCAAATTATAGTGCGTAAACGCAGACATTGGTGGAATCAGTGCTGAAGGATAAGGTCTTTCTTGTACTCATAGTTCATGCTTCATTGCTCTATGCTTCAAAAACCAAGATTTTGATTGATCGAGAAATCTACCTGCAGTCACAACTACGCTTTCGTTTGAGGCAAAAGCTAGCAGCTATCACATTCAAACGCCGGTACGGTATATTGGTACAGATGGGTACAGTACACATGAATGTGCTCCCCTTTCGCCCGCCTTCACGAACCTCACAGCTTGATGTTTTTGCAAGTCTCCCTTGTCCTTCAATACTCTTTCACTAATGTCAACCCGGATTATATACTGTAATTAATAAACCATGGTTTATTAATTAGGGGGGTACTCCTCCAATAGTCATCATCTGATACTTAGATGGTACCCTCCTAATTGAACAGCCTAGGGGGTTATTAATCCAGGGTTGACATTACCAGTGCACTGTTTTGTTTTTTTTTGCAAAACATTAAATCATTCAATCTCGAACCTCTGCACCAACCGTGTCATTGTTTTAATTGGACAAACTCCCCAAAGATTTCAGATTACGGGTGCTCAAATGCTTGGAAGATCTGGGCGGTTGATGTCAGTATCCGTGGTATGTTGATTTTTCAGGTGATGTCTACGTCAACGATGCCTTTGGGACGGCACACAGAGCGCACTCGTCCACAACTTGGAACAGTTGCAACATGATGTCCAACATGATGTCCAACATGATGTCCAACATGTTTCAAGCTGCTTCAAGCTTGATCATTGGCAAAAGGTCTTTGAAGACTTTCTTTTTTGAATTTTCAACAATTTTCACTGCATCAATCAACATTATTTTGTGAATACTTAGTGACCTAATCCAGTTTGATGCGCTGGTATTTATCTAGAAATTCCAGAAAGATGGATTCGAGGTCGATGGTGGGCTGCAATCTGCCTGAGAAGGCCGGCAAATTGGGCAAATCTCAGGACAAAGGTTTCACTACAGTGTGGTACCACAGAAAATCATGTTGTTCTGAGAATGTTTCATGTCATGAATCATGTTGTTTCTCGCCAATCATGGTCTTTAGGGCTGTGAATGGGGTGACTTCCACGTAGGTTCCTCCCAGTCCTCAAGGTGTAGACAACAATAGTTCAAGTAACCTTCACATAAGGTGAGCTACCTTCGGTTAAAGGTTGCAGACGATTCTGAAAGTGATTATTTTTGAGGTCCAGAGGGCTCTGGGATTTTAGAGATCAAAGCCGGATGTGTTGTGCTTCCGATTCGAAGCGAACTCAGTTTGTGGTTCCTGACTTTCGATTCTGATGAGGCCACATTATGCCTCACAGGATTCTCTCAAACTTCCCTTCCCATTTGTGACCCAAGCTGTCCTGTAGGCTGACTGCAATTTCATACATTTTCTGAATGGATTCATCCAGCCAGCTTGATCAAGCTTGTGCGCTTCAGAAAGCCTTGTATTGTGAGACATTGTGAGCATTCTGTGAAGGTTGCAGGTTTGTTGATCGAGAAGGAGCTGAACGCATTCTCACAGGTCTTGTCAGGGTGCCCAAATAGCGGAGGGATGAATAGAGCTCAAGTTTCAATCCGCACAGTTCCAGAGATGATCGCTTTCAACATCTTTGAACATAATCCTTGCAACATGATCTGGATGTGGCAAGCTGACATCTTCTTGGTATGCAATGAAATGTAGAATCTCGTTCTTCGAGGGCATCATTGATAGTGTCCACATGCATTCACCATCTTTAGTGAATAATCAACGCCTTTCGCCAGCCTTTAAAGATCTTTAAAGCATTTACATTAGCTGCCTTGCAAAGTGCAGAGCGTCAGAGCGTGACTTCAATAAACAGCCGGAGCTTCTCTAGTTTCATCGGCTCCAACAGCCGGAGCCAAAGCCTTTCCCAAGGAGCACTCCTGCTCGGCCATTGGTGGCAATCGTTGGTGGTGCAAAGATCAACGACAAGCCTCCCTCTGAGACATATTTTCAGGGATCAGACGGAGAACCCTTTTTGAAGCTGTGAAATGGATTGAAATGGTGAAATATTGTGAAATGTAGGGTCTAGAACCCTAATGTAGGCTGCAATTGTTTAGACAAAAAGCAGTGGAAGCCTGTCTGTCACAGTGCCTCCATCATGTTTTCATTTCAGGATCAAGCTCATCGAGAATCTGATTGACAAGGCAGATGGCATCATCATTTGCGGCGGCATGGCATACACCTTCTTGAAGCAACTTGGCTGCTTTGGAATGGTGTTTTATGAGCCAATACATGGGAGTGGTAATCGTGCAAACAAAATGGACAACCTAAGCTTGGGTTCAAGACTATCAAGGCAGAAGTTAGGAAAGGGTTGGAACTCTGAGTCAAGACTGACTCAAGAGCAGAAGCCGTGAGCAGACATGACAATTTGAAAACATAAATCAACTTTGATACAATATCGGCTTTGCGGTTGCAGTCACTTACCATTCACTTAGCCACCAGCTCGTCAGACTGTTCTCACGTTGGTATCCTTCAAGTGCAAAGGCAGTGCTTCGGAATGAAGATTGGCCGTACCCTCGGTGGCCCATTTTCACAGGGCTATTTGCTTTTAAAGGTGTGTGGTCAAGCAGATATGAATATTCAAGTCAATATCTGAAAATGCAGTTGAGAGTCTGAAATTGGCTTTCTCATGCTTACTCATTTTTACATCCCTGACTTTCATTGTACGAAGTAGAAAGCTCCGCCCAGGCAAGAGCCTTTTTGACAAGAAGGGTCTGGAGCTTGTGTCAAGATGTTTGCACACATAATTGCAGCCGAAAATGAACCACGCCTTTGTCGTGTAGACAAAAGGAGCATTTATCCTGCAGTAACTAGAGTTATTGCATGTTAATAACATTGTTATTGCAGTCTGTAATTTTTGAGAAAACAAAGTTATTTGAGATGCTTCGAGGCGCAGATATTGTGCAGGGTATGCTGGACAAGGCTGCAGCAAAGGGCTGCGAGGCCAGGAACTCAAATGCCCGGCGACAGAGCTAGAGCTGAGCTATTTGAAGCGAAGTGTCATGGCCACCGCGGCCACCTTGAAACCTCACTTTACGACAGAGTCTCCCTCTCTCTCTACATCTCTCTGAAAGTGGAGGGCACAATCCAAGGTCACCTTGCCCATCGACTGGCTGTGTGGAAAAGAGTTCAAGAACGATCAGGTAGGGGCCGTAGGGGCCGTCAACGCCTGTGCAGGTGTGTTGTAGCAGGTTGTAGCGCTTTCTAGCATAGCCCGTCTTGAACGGTTTGCAGACCTTTGAGTAGCCTTCCTCCTTGTCAATGACAGTTTGAAAGTTCGAAAGCTGCCTGTGCTGAATCTGGCACAAGGAGACCAAACTTGTCACAAAGGAGGAGGGCATCCCAGATGACTGGGAAGGCGCGAGGCTATTCTGAACAGATGCGAACAGGTTTGAACGGTGTCATGTCATTCGCTTTTGTTTGAGAGATGGGAAATTGGGCCATCCGTCTGACATGGCTAGTATTCTTATCAGCTCAATAACGGCATACCACATGCTAGTCTTGTGACACATCATTGCTGGAGTCTGCTGGAGGTATGGACTGTGGACCCAAGAGTCTGAACCCCTCAGTTCCACTACTCGTGAATGCCAATATGGCAAATCATCATTGCTTCAAAGGAGATATAACTTGAACAATCCTCCAAGCTAAGATCCTTTCAATCGACTTGAAGTACACGAAAGCATATTCAATGAATCTAAAAAAACCTTAAGATCATATTTGATCATACTGGAACAGATCGAATTCGCATATGAAGCCATGAAGCTTGGACACTTTGGCGCCCCTTGCCAAGGCATGGAGCTTTTTGCCAGCAAAGTGAAAGCGGCCAAGACAGTAGGGCTCTCAAGAGGATCTCAAAAACACGGGACACCACATCATATTGTCATATTGTATCATATTGTATATGGCATATTATGGCATTGTATATGAGTGGTATTGTATGGTATTGTACATCATTATATGGCACTGTATTGACACTTTGCCATACCTTGCCGATCATTGCCGACCACGAGGTAGTTTGGAATGGGCCAGCTGGCGTTTTTGAATTCGACAACTTCTCCAAGGGAACCAAGGCGCTGGCAGAAACTGGATGCAATCCTTTCGAAAGTCAAATTGTTTCCATGTTCTGAAATTTGCAGTTTGTCAAACGTGTTTACCTCGTGTTTTCCAGCAGTTCCTACCGGTCAGACCATGCTAGGCGCTGCTGGAAGCGGTTGCAGATCTTCATGCCTCAGGCAAGATTTGAAACCTTTGCTTCAAGGATTTGGTGATTTGGAATGCAAATCTGTTGAATTCTATGTCAACAGATTTGTTGAGTTCTGTTGGCTTTGCGAATGCATCTGTTGACTGCTATGTGCCCTGCACTCGAAGGGAAGAGGTGCTGGGGCTGCTAAGACAGACCGGTCCGCAGACAGAGTGCTCTCATGACATGCATCTCCAAGTCTCCAAAAGACAGATGGACTCTGCGCGGAGGTGGTGTCGGCATTATTGGTGGTGGCGACTCGGCCACTGCTGCTGCCAAGTGGAACATGGAGGATAGACCAAAACATCTACAAATAAGACACGGAAGCACATCTGATTTCACATCAACACAGTCCTAAATATCAAATAATTATAAATCAGAATCGTAAATATCAATTCATTATCAAGGGTGAGTCTTTGGCCAACTACTTGTACCATTTGCTATCATGTACTATGATATAAATATAGATTTAATATACAAAAACTACGTATTATAAATTAATATAAATTATAGTCGTTCAATTTCTTGGGTCAGTTTCTTCCAAAAGGCATCTCTCTTTGGGGACCTGTAAGATCCAGTAGCCGCAGTAGCCATCTATACCTTGACAGCGCCAAATATCCATTGCTGAGAGGACAAGGTCTCCTTCGTCTCAACCGGTGGCGGTGCTTCTCTTGAGTTGATGGAGGGCAAGATTTTGCCTGGCATTGTAGGGAACTCAGCCGAAAAAAGACGTAATTTAGTACTGATAGCTCATGGGGAGCACTACTCCAACCTGATAAAGTACACGCAAGGATATATAAGAATTTATGCATCAAACAACATCATGTGTGCAGTTCGTCTTTTGCAAAAGATGAACCTTTTGCAAGGCAGCTCTGGCAGATGCTCCTCCCAAATGGGAGGCTAGGCTTGTCATGTCAGAGATCAGGTTGCTGAGGCTCAAAATTAAATGGATCTGCAAGCTGTGCAAATCAAACATTTCAGCCACTTGTGTTCATTTGTAGTCTACTTATATCTGCTTAGTCTACTGCAACTGCTGTAGCGGAAGACTCCGTTACAAATTCGGCTGCATTTTGTAGGGCACCGTGACTGGGAAATACCAGTGGGACGACAAGAAGAAATCCAACACTGACGCAGACAAGGACCTGATATAGGGTTTTTATGGACGATTTTTTTCTTGAACCCTTTCCAGTAGAATGCTTACTGTAAATGTTGTTTTGTGCTTTTTCACATTCCTGTACATACCTGTGAAGCATGATTGACAATGATAGAGGTTGCACGTGAGCAAAACTTAGTTTATCCGAGTACATAGACCAAGTGGAAGTGGAAGGTGGGTGGGTTTGCGTAGGACATGAGCAGTGCTGGCGACGCAATCACAAAGTACAGCTGGGGAGATGGAAAGAAGCAGGCGCATAGAAGTGTTAATCAGTTGTTTCGTCGCTTCTTCGTTTTGTCCTTGCTTTGGGTTTTGGCCATTTTGGATGCAGGTCAGCATTTACATTGAGCTTGATGGCCTTGATGCCTGCACCGAAGATATGTTTCAGGCAAGAGAACATTAGTGAAGAATGGCTGAGGATGGTTACGGCTTGTTCATTTAACAGCTGCATATGATTTTGGTATGCAACCTCTTCTCCATAGATCTCCTTCCATCATTCCATTTCAACAAAGCCCCGCGTCGGAAACTATGACGCCGTAGAAACTATGAATCAGAAACTAAAAACCCTGCGTCAGAAACTAAATAAATGCGCGTGAGAAACTAAATACCCGTGCGTCAGAAACTGACAATCCGCGCGGCAGAAACTAAAATCAGCGCGTCAGAAACTAAAACCTGCACTTCCGAAACTAAACTGCGCGCATCAGAAACTAAAGAAACCTCGCGTCAAACAGCAAAACTGAAAACTAGAGGAAAACTAGCCAGACTTCGTACAAGACTTTGATTGTATCGGGAACAGAGGCCCGTTACTATCGTTACTTCTTTATTCTTCATGTTTTCCTACATTTTCCTACTGGATGTTTCGGATTCCACGTTTTGGTCCGATTCACGGCTTGGCCTTCAGCATCTGCCATCTCCATGGTCACATTTTCCAAGGCAACATCTGGTGAGACCGATGTCTCCCTGACCATCACCGAGGCGGCTGGAGTATGCTGAGTATGCTGAAGTTGACAAATCAATGGCAAGTCAATTCAATGAGTTCCACGTCCAAACTCTTCACACGACTGTCACGACGCACGACTGGTCGGAGCGCCTTGGATCCAGGTCGCTGGCAGGAAAAGAACATTCGCATTGAAGGACCTTGCCCATGAAATCGATGGAGTCAAGGCTCGCCCAGTGACATCATTCTGAATGGCCATGGCACAGATTTTAGGAAGTTGCCCAGAATCTCTGTCAATGCAAAATGCCTGGAGGTCAATCAGAAGAAGGGCAAGGGTTCCTTGGCTATGATTTGTTGTGACTGTTTGATTGTTTTGACTGGCTATTTCACCGCCAACTCGCAGCCCCTCTAACTTCTATCGCAGCTAAGCAATTCCAAGGCATGGTAGTCCTCAAGTTGGTGAAGAAGGACCATTCCTGTCGGACGTACGAGTGGCTTTGGTAACCATGCACCAGGTGACCGGAAAAATGTGATGCTTGATTGAAAGGAGGAGAAGCCGTGGTTCAAGCTGCAGGAATCTTCTGGTGGCGGAGGTCTTGACTGCCAGGGCAAACAAAAATGTATTCAAGTGTTTACAAAGAAGCCTGCAATCAAAACCGGAAATTACAGTAATACACATTGGATGTGTTGACATTCTAAACTGCTTTGCCACAGCGTTGCGCAGGTGGTGATGATGAAGAAGAGGGCGGCATGGGTGGCATGGGCGGCATGGGCGGCATGCCAGGTATGGGCGGCATGCCAGGTATGGGCGGCATGCCAGGTATGGGCGGCCTTGGTGGCATGGCCAGGTACTCAGTGTCTCTCCAAGATCTCTGACGTAAGAAGAATCAGTGAGATGCTGTAAGACGTAGGATCTGAGAATCAAATCTACTGCAAAGATGTGGGGGTGGGTCAAAACCTATTATTATCAATTCTAATGGGATGAACCTCCATTTACCAGCTATTTGGGGGTTCACTAGGTGCCAGGGTTTTGACCAATAGCCATGTGAATTTACAGGTTTCCAGGCAACACCTCTGCGATATGTGAAATATATTCTGTATCACTGTATCACAAACAGAACCTGTACTTATTTGATCTTATTTGTGTGAACTTGATTGCGGCTGGCAAGTGGGACGAGGACCTTGCGTCGATGATGGGCGGCATGGGCGGCATGGGTGGCATGGGTGGCATGGGCGGCATGGGCGGCATGGGCGGCATGGACATGGGTGGAATGGACGACATGGACCTTGGCGGAGAAGACGAAGAAGGCAAAGAAGAGTCTGGGGCCCCAGTTCCAAGAACCAAAATTTACTTTCAAAGCAGTGACTCGCTACACTGCGAAACCATTTGAAAAGCACGAGTACAATGATCTATGGTCTGAAGGGGTTCAGTGAGCTCAACGCCTTGATACCGTGGCTGACAACGTGCATTGTATCCTTTCGGAATTCTTTCTGAATCTTGCCATTGTACAAAGGTGAGCACCAACCATGGCCCTGTCTGATCCTGACAGGAACTTTTACTCCAGTTGAGTCGCACCTTTTACTCCAGCAGTCAGCAGTTGAGTAATGTTGAGTCCTCATCATGTCCTGATCACTGAGGTGAAGCCAAAAATATCCAATAAAAAATGAACTTTCGCTGAAGTTGTCAGCAAAGTGCGCGAAGCAAGTCTTGCCATCAGCTGAGTGGCTTTCCACACTTGGAACACCTTGAAAATCCTTGAAACATTTTCGGAATGTCTCTCCCATGCTATACAGTGCCTATGAGTTTTTCCGAAGCTGCAATCAGAAGGCAAACGCGCATCCTCTTACATATCAATCTTATTGTTTTTGACCATGAAACAGAATATTTATTCAGCTTTTTTGGGCAGGGGTGTACGGTGTAACTTTCTTCCAATTCTTCTTTTAGAGACTTTCTTCCAATTGACTCCAGTGGCCACGGATGTCCCTTGCCGCAGACAAGGCCGAAATGGGCAAGGCGCAGCCAGAGGGCATTGTCTCGAAGTTTTGATGACGCTCCAGAGAACTGGAGGATTTTGGAGTACGAACTGGGATGGCAGTCCTGTCCAAAGTCTGTCTCCTTCTTTTCAATACAAAAAGGATGGAACAACAGCAATGAAGATATATATATATATATAATATAATATTATTTGTGTATATATACGCGCAAAACCCCTGTCTCGCCGTCGGCTGAAACTGCTTAAAACTGGGGGTTTGTCATGATTTCTGGAAATTTCCAATGGAAAAATGTTGCAAAACGCCATCTGCCCACACATCAGCATCTTTCTATATCTTTCTTTTCCTGTGCTTCACGACATCCTGTGCTTCACGCCATCTGCCCACACATCAGCATCTTTCTATATCTTTCTTTTCCTGTGCTTCACGAGAAGAAAGCCAAGAGCGTAACATCACTGACGTGTTAACATAAACGGAAGAAAGCCAAGCGCGTAACATCACTGACGTGTTAACATAAAACCGAAGAAAGCCAAGAGCGTAACATCACTGACGTCTTTTATATAACACCGAAGAAAGTCAAGAGCGTAACATGACTGACGTGTTAACATAAAACCGAAGAAAGCCAAGAGCGTAACATCACTGACGTCTTTTATATAAAACCGAAGAAAGTCAAGAGCGTAACTTCACTGACGTCTTTAACATAAAACCGAAGAAAGCCAAGAGCGTAACATCACTGACGTGTTAACATAAAACCAAGAAAGCCAAGCGCGTAACACCACTGACGTGTTAACATAAACCGAAGAAAGCCAAGAGTTAACACATCCGAAGTCTCTAGGATGAAGGTTTTTGAAAAAAAAATATGATTTTGATACGTTTCAGATATGATTTGTTGTTATGATTTGTTTATGGCTTGGTTTTGCTGTTATGATTTTGATATGGTTTCAGTTATGATTTTGATATGGTTTCAGTTATGATTCTTGATGTGGGTCAAACTTGTGATTTGAAGCCAACCCATCGGAACCATATCCAAAATATTCCAAAATCGTATCAAAACCATATCAAAATCGTATCAAGACCGTATCAAAATCGTATCAAAAGCGTATCAAAATCGTAGCAAAATCATATCAAAACCACAAAAACCTTCGACAAATCGACCAAAAACTTGTCCCTGGGCTGTTTCTGTTTCTTTTTTTGAAGCCAACTCACTGGAACCATATCAAAACCGGATCAACATCATACCAAAACCGTATCAAAATCGTATCAAAATCGCATCAAAACCATATCAAAATCATACCAAAACCATAAAAATCCTCGAAACATCGACCAAAAACCTATCCCTGCGCTGTTTCTGTTTCTTTTTTTGAAGCCAACTCGCTGGAACCATATCAAAACCGTATCAAAATCATATCAAAATCGTATCAAAATCGTATCAAAACCATATCAAAATCATATCGAAATCATAACCCCAAATTCAAAGCATATCAAATTCATATCGTCAAATCGTATCCAAAACCATATTAAAATCGTAAAAACAATATTTCCTGAATTCAGCATCCTAGAGGGATTCCGGTCTGCTAAGCCAAGAGCGTAACATCACTGACGTCTTAACCTAAAACCGAAGAAAGTCAAGAGCGTAACATCACTAACGTCTTAACATAAAACCGAAGAAAGTCAAGAGCGTAACATCATTGGACGGGAACGAAAGGACGTTATTATGCCCCCACCCCCACCCCCACCCCCACAAATAAAGGAAGCGGCGTCACAACCATAAGATCTAGAGAAGAAAGGCAAGAGCGTATCATCATTGACGTTTTCACATCTAGAGACGAAGTCAACAAAGTAGCATCATCGACGTAATAAAATAAAGAGAAGAAAGTCAAGAACGTAACATCATTGGACGGGAACGAAAGGACGTTATTATGCCCCCACCTCCACCCCCCCAAATGAAGGAAGCGGCGCCACAACCAGCTTAAAAAAAACACACAAAAGAAAGACCATCCAGAACGTGCCAAAAACGCAAAAAGTCGCGCGCCTGCCAGCGAAAATGCAATACGATTGTTTTGCAAGGTCATAAAACACTGCGCCTGCCACGCAAAATGGACGTGCTCAAATTCATTGGTGGCCGCAGGTCAAAATGCATTTTTTTGAACTTAAAAATAGAAACACCGCGTTTCGCCTGCACGAGGAGCAAAATTCGAACCGGACGAATGACAATTTTGGCAACGGCGAGACAGGGGTTTTGCGGGTATATGTATATATATATAGATTGTGAATGAGCTTATTTTGCCCACTTGCACACCGGTGTTCCCTAGCACTTGAATCTACATGAGACATGTCTCCTGGGTCCAACCATTTTCCAGGCATGCTGTTCCGAAGACTCACCGGCTCAGGGAGCCCGGAAGAGAGGTGGGCGGGTTGTGAGTTTAGCCATAGGCTTTCCTTCGAAGTGGCTGTGGACAGCCTGGGACATTTGACCACGGCTCCGTCAGTGGTGAGAAAAAGGCGTGGTCGCCTTGGGGATGTGACTGGAAGAGGCATTCCATTGAAGAGGTCATCAGAGGTTGCTACTCCAATCACATTGGTAGCGGAACCCCCCAGCGCTTATCAAGCTGGGGGGCATCCAGGGAGGCTACCAGGCATTTGCAGTTGACTGGCTGGAGACGGTGAAGCAGAGTTTGACAACCCTGCAACTTGATCCATGTCTGGAAGTGAGACCGCCGATGGTCAAGGCCAGGTTGGTGGAATATCAAGCCAGTTGGCCTTCCTCGTTCCAAGTTTTGATCCCAGCAAAGATGATCTGCAACTGTATCAGCAAAAGGTACAGCTGGTCCTTTCCATGTCGCCCTCGAACAAGATCCTGGAGCTCACAACGAGGTTGGTGCTGAACACCACAGGCTCAGCATTTTCGAAGCTTCAATTACATCAGTCAGACATTTGCGTGAACGAAGAAAAAGGTGCCAAACGGATCGTTGAATTGCTAGGTGGTCACTGGGGAAAAACTAGTTTGGAAAAAAGATGCTATGATGCAGAGCGCGCATTGTACCAGTGCAATCAACTTCAAGGATGAGAGCTATTATTCATTTCTTGCCAGAGCCAACATTCTGTGGACAAAACTCAAAACACAAAATCTGAAAATTGAGGATTTGCAAGCATATGTGATGTTGAGAGGAGCGCTAATTTCAGGAGATGACAAAGAGTGATTCTTGACAGTGACAGCTCAATTGAGGGCACTCTGACAGTTCAACGAGTTCAAGAATCCGTACGTTTGCTTGGCACTTCCTTTTTTCAGGAAATGACCGGTTTGGGAAAGAGGTCTCAGAAAAGCAAGGTTTATGATCATCAGACGCTCTTTACTGAAGACATGGACACACATGGAGAACATGATGATTCAATTCACATGACACAACATGATGAATGGAATGAAGGTGAATGGATGGAAACATTGGTGCAAGAGGGGGATGATGATGCAATCTTTGTTTCTGACTTCGAGACAGCAGCGGCTGACATCGTCCAAGCCGATGAGGACTTAGCTGCAGCATGTTCCTCGTATGTTGAAGCAACGAGAAAATTGAGCGAAAAGGTGAAATCCAGAGGTTTCTGGCTGATCTCCAAAGGCAAAGGCAAGGGCTTCAGAAACAAGGGAAAAGGAAAGCAGACTTGGGGACTCCGAAAAAGTCTTCAACAAAAGGACCCTTGAGAGTAACTGCAGAATCTGCGGGAAAAAAGGTCACTGGAAGAGCGAATGTCCTAACAGGGGGCAATCTTCAGGATCGACACCAGGTGCCGCTGCCCCCATTACTTTATCAATGGGTTTGTCTGCTGAGATGGAGGAGTTTGCCATGCCTTCAGAGTTCATGAGTTTGCCCGTGGTGACGGAAAATCCGCCCACCCAGGACACCCAAGCAAGGGAATTTTGCTTTGTACAGGCAGTTTCTTGTAGATCCTTTCAGAAACCATGCCAGCCCTCAGAAACCTGGGTAAATGAGATGGATGGAAGGGAACGAATTAGAAATAAGGTTAAGGCTAAGGGCAATCTCAGGACTAATTCTGATAACTCGTCCGTCATGCACAGGACTGATGCAGCGCACCGCCAACAACCCCGACATGACGTGGGGAATGTCCGCAAGATCTTTCGCAGATCATGGGAAAGCCGCCTGAGGGAAGCATCCGGGTATCCAAAGGAGACATTGCCGCACAGAAATGCCAGTCAGCTGAAAGCCACATGCATCCGGAGTCAGGCAGTAATGCCAAAGTGCTGTTTGCCACACACGACACATGGGGGATTTTAGACACTGGAGCCAAAAAGACCGTCATAGGCAGCGACTCCATCAAAGGTTTTCTGGGGAATCTGAATCCCCAAACCCGGAAATTGGTCAAACGATGTAAGTGTGAAGTTGATTTTCGGTTTGGAAATCAAGGAAACCTCAAATCTCAGCATGCCCTGGTGTTTTCGGTTTTCGGTCTGGCTCCCTTTGTCCAATACGTTGCTGCGAACCTTGGGTGCCATGATGGACACTGGCCAAAATAAACTGCTGATTCCCAAGCACAATGCGTCCGTTCCGTTGAAGCTGTCTCCAAAAGGTTTGCACCTGGTTCATTTCAATGAGTTTGTCAAAGTGTCTTGCGCCAGCCCGAACCCTGGGGCATCAGCCGAGACTTTTGTGCAAGAGTGTGTGTGTGTGTGTGCCAAAACCACCTGCATCCGTCCTTTCGACTGCCGTTGGGGAATCTGCCGATAAGAACACAGGCGTAACAGTTGACAGGAATGATATCATCAAAGCTGAGCCAACACACCCTCACATGAACATACGCACCCACACAAAATCAGAAGATGTCTCAAGCCACAGCCCAGAGGAACAGGTGCCGATCGATCCCATGACGCTCGAAGAGTTGTCAGCAGAGATGGTCACCTTCGGGAAAGCAAACTCCGGCAGGAGCTTTGCAGAAGTGTGGGACCATTACGCAGACTGTCCAGACTGGACCCAGTGGTTCTTTGCCCATTACCAGTCAAGCAAAAAGACGGAGCACCGCAAGATGTGCTTGCTCATCAAAAAGATGATCGAAGAGTCCGAGAATAACGCCACCTATGCTCCCACAACCGAGGCCAGTCATGCCATGCCCAAGAGCCTGGCACATCCACTATTAGCCACTGCAAAGCCTCGCCCAGGCCCATTGCCTGCACGGGTACCGAGATTCCAGAGACCGGTATATGCCATGGATCCCAACCGGAGATCAACAGGAAGCCGTCACGAATCTGCAGCAGCGAGTTCAGAGCATGGAGGGAGGTCTCCAGCAGATCATTGCGATCCTTAGCAACCCACCCCGAAATCGATTGCGGAATGGGACGATCCCTGGAATGCATAGATGATCTGCCTACGGAAAGTGACTGGGTTTTTCGAGCAGGGGAAATAGACACTTTTTGTGAATCACAACCCAATAAACAACAAGTAAGATTCCGGAATCTAGTTCAACAGTTCGAAAGAGAACTTCAAGACAGCCTGTTAAAACACAAGAGCCATGAGAAAACCCATCAAACCCTCAATGAAGAACTGTTGAAATTGCACTGTGCACTTTACGCCTTGCCCAGTCGACCCGTGCTTGTACATACCCCGGCATCCAGTGTCAGGAAAACTGTCAGGTGCACTTGGCGTCCACGTGGACGATGGCATCCATGGTGGGGATGAATACTTCCATGAACAAATTGCAAAACTAGAAGCCAAATATCCATTTGGATCAAAAAAGTCACAAAGTTTTACTTCCATTGGAATTGGCATGCGACAAAACAATGATAACAGCATTGAACTTTCACAATCAACTTACTGTATGTCAAAAACATACCGCCAATTCACATCAAGACCGAAAGGAGAGCCCAAGAAAATGTTCAGGTGGATGAGAATGAACGTCACCTTTTAAGGGCCCTCATTGATGCAAATCGCACTCTCCACAATGCTAGGAAACATCACGTTGTCACCATTCGCATTCAACCCATACCTTTACATCAAGTGAGATTCATTCCCTTCTCAGATGCCTCGTTTGCGTCAAAGACCAAACCTGAACCATTCATGTCCAATTAGTCCCCCTTTGTGGGGTACAAAGAAAATTCATTTGATTGTAACCAGTGCACTTTCAGCCGAAACATCCGCACTTGCAACTACACTTGACCAGTTGACATGGATAAGAATCTGTTGGGCTTGATTGTTGAACCCCAAGACTAACTGGCGAAAACCCAAAGAGATCTCCAATCTCCCGGATGCATGTTTGGTATGACCACACGGGCAGCTATTCCTAATTGTCAGGGGTCCAGAACACAGTTGCTTGCCAGATCGATCCGTGATACGCTAGGAGAAGGGATCCGTTTGAACTGGGTACATAGTGGAGCGCAGTTGGCCGATGCACTCATGAAGCTAATGGAGGCAAATGTCCTGAGGGAGACACTCCGCCAAGGGAGGTGCTGTCTTCATGATGCTAGTGAAGTCTTGAAGAACCGCGCCACTGCAAGGAAGATAATGAAATTGCTAAAAACCTCATGCACCGAAAACGAGCTCTCAGCTGAAAAAATGTGAAAATTAGGGAATGTGGTTGAGCTCATTTTGCCCACTTGCACACCGGTGTTCCCTAGCACTTGAATCTACATGAGACATGTCTCCTGGGTCCAACCATTTTCCGGGCATGCTGTTCCGAAGACTCACCGGCTCAAGGAGCCCGGAAGAGAGGTGGGCGGGTTGTGAGTTTAGCCATAGGTCATCAGAGGCTACCCCAATCACAATATATGCATATATATATATATATGTGTGTGTGTGTGTAATACAGAATAGCCTGAACAAATCTGACCATGCATTGTGCTTGTGGGCAGCATGCATTGCATTCTGCATGCACGCATGCTCCAGTACTCAGTCCCCCATATTTGGCGGTTTGAAGTACTACTGTGTTCAGTTTGGACGCCAGCCAGCAAGATTACAGTAACGTGACAGTGTGTAGAATGAAGGAAGAGTTGAGGGAGTTATGTTTGCAGAACAGCCATCCTGTTGCAGAGCTGAATCCGATACAATCCGATACCTTGTACACAGCCTTTAGGGATGACTCATGTGGGCCATCAGCAATTGCCTCGCTTGGAAGGAAACCACAATGGTGACCCAAAAATGTTGTTTCAAACAGTTCTTGATGGCGGTGCATATGACAGACGCGGCCATCAACTACAAGTGTCGCCCTTGAACCGGTCACGCTTCCTGGACTAAAAGCGAGTAGCTGGCTCCATTTGGGAGTACAAAGTTCTTTGGCATTGGTCCACGATTCCTACAAAGGCAGGCGTAGTTCAGCCAAAGACAGACAACCTGCTTGCGCGGTACAAAGCGGAGTGCGGGTGCACTTGTACACTAGGATTTGATGATTTGCAACTCAATAATGCATTTGCACCATCCATGTCATCACTTGAAGTTCTTATTGAAAACGAAACTTCTGCTAGCTGAAGTCCCTTTTGCTTTAGAAAGGTATTGGCAGGGGCCGGCCCCGCATGAACTTCACAGTTAACTACCCTCCCCCTTCCCCCGTGAGCAGCGGTGTATTCATGACATTTCATGACCATGATATGACACCCCTGACAGCATTATCTCATCGTCCTCCTGCTCCACCTGCCCCTCCTTGTACTCACCTTGCTAGTTTTATCAATGCTTTATCTAGCTTTACTTCCTTACCCTTGGCCTCTGGCTTTGGTACTTTCATGTACTTTCTCTTTCTAGTCATTCATTATCCCGAGTTTGGAAAACCCATGCCATGCTTCGAATTTCTTTTGTGCTCGCAATCCTCACTGCCACACTGTTGCTCAAAGCATCTAACCCACAGTGGTTTCCGATCTTTGCCTTGTTGGGGTAGAGGATTTTTCTGATGCAGCGGTGGCGACAAGGACACCTTCAAGTGGAACATCCAAACAGACTCAGCCAATCTCAGCCATGTCACTGGTACTGTAATTGCTTTATTGGCTGCACGGCTTTGCACCAGTATGCAGTCCTGTTGAGGCGGCACAACTGCTACTGTAGTAAAGGGAGATGGATCCAGACTGACGATAGCTGCATTCACGAGGATCTTCGAGCTCAGTATTCTGAGAACCGCGTTGCGCCGCGTTCCCAGGAGCCAGCAGCACATTTAGGACAGAGGTTGTCTGGAAAGAATGCAAGCTGATGTGCACCTGCTGTCATGTTTCGCTGCCGCCCTTTTCTCTAGCTGCTGAAGCAATCCTAGGAAGATCTAGGAAGGCTGTAAAGACGACAAGACAGCCCCCTCTCGCACCATGAGCCATGAAGCTGGCTTGTTAGACCATGCTTTCAAGGAAACATATCCAGCTTCAAGCTTGAGACTCACAGAAATCAGATTTGGGCGACATAAATGGTAGAATCTATCAGGTGAGTTTCAAACTTTCCAACCAGAAGAACCACAGCAGCGACTTGAGATGCACATCAGATTCGTGACAGTGAGATTGATTGCCCGAGAGGGCAAATGACATGGACACTGGCAGTTCCAGCATGGAAGCGACAGCGGCTGTGCCCAGAGGACTCTGCAATCTTCCCTAAAACTTTCCCTTGTCGCATTGTTCTGCGGAATTTGTTGCTCTTGTTGTGCAGGCCTAAAGCTGCTCAAATCTCTGCATGAATGTTTGATCCTTTTTGATACCTTATGTAAAATTGTACATGTAATGTTTGCGTGAATTCGGTCTTCTCGGACCAGCCGCTTGTTCATGAGTTGCTGGAGGACGCTGGAACCGAGCGCGATCGCAGAAGAGCAAGGTCAGCGAAAACTGTGAAAATGGAGGCCAGTTCAGCCAGTTCCATCTAATTTCTGCGGTTTGATGTTAAGGCTGTTAAGGGTCAATGCCAAGAGTTGGAATGTGACTTTGTCCCAGCTTCACTTCAACCAAGGGGCCAATATCTGGCCATACTTGCGCCATATTTCAACAATGACATGTGATGACATGTTGAAGAGCTGAGCTCAGACGTGTACTGTACAGACGTGTAGGACAGCCATGGCGGCGTGCTCGTGGTGCTGTTGAGGAGGTCCTGCGACAGACTTTGCCGGTGTTTGCTGTCGGAATAGAAAGGTAATATATTTGATTTATGACGTAATACAAAACAATGCACGTAGTATGTGATGATGATGATGATGATGATGATGATGATGATGATTATGATGTGATATTGATGTGAATATGTTTGTATATATGAGTATGTTAATATGTCGAGAAGAGACAATTTGTGAATCTATATACACATGTACTATTCTATACTATATACAATGTTCACAAAGTCTAGATGCAGCAGGGTTGATGTTTCGGATGGGTGAAAACCACGATACAAAGCAGACACAGCTGTGCCGGTGGAGATGACAACAAAATGGTAACAGGATTTTCCATCATGGCGCAAAGGACGCCTAGGGCTCACGGGCTGCATTTGAAAAGGCGGCCAAACAAGGAGAGACAAGATGCCCATCTGCTTGCTGTTTTGACGAGGATGTTTGATGAAATCGTCTCAGAGGTATTGACTATATAGATACGTGCAGATGCTGTGAGCAAAGCCACTCATCTTCTCCAATACACACGCACAGACACACGCACGCACACGTACAGACACAGACACACAGACACACAGACACACAGAGATACGATCACTAACCGTTTAACCACGATGTCAGAATCTCAAACTCCAGGGGTCCAGGAGAGTCAGGTCTTGAAGATCGAGGGTGCAGAGCGACCTGGTGTAGGCCGAGGGCAGCCTTTGCATAGTCAGGTGGCAGTGACTTAGTTTTGGTCAGACGATTCCGAGTGTTGAAGGTTGGTTGCAACTGGGTTGCCAAAGCACCAAGTTATTTCACCTCTGGACTGGTTGGTTGCAGTTGAAGCCTGTGTGGCCAGCTGGCCAGTCTCATGGATCTATGGCGCAAACAGTAGGGATCCTTTCTGAATTTGCAACAAAACAGAAGTTCTATATCCACAACTCAAGGAATCCTTTTTTGTCAGCTTTGTGTAGATAAACAGATTACTCTTCGTTTACCGAGATGGTCCAGCTCTCGGATGTCCTTAGTTCTCATTTGATTTGGTGTGGGGATGCTACAGATGCAGCAGATGAAGGCTCTACAGTGCGTCTTCGACGCGGTTTGCAGATGCCCCAATTGGGCCTTGGCAGTGGTGATCTCGAAGGTAGAGAAGGTCGTGAGGCTATTTGTACTGCGCTCAGAGCAGGCGCAACCTTTCCACCTTCCGCATGGCAGGATTTTGTTTGTTACTGGCAACATTTCTGACTTTGTCTACTTACACAGTTCCAAACTGTGATTCGGAAAGCAGTGCGCAAACCGCAAATTGCCAGGCTACAGACTCATTGACACAGCTTTGTTCTACAGGAGAGAAGCAGTATTTGTCCATGTCGTTCACCATGATAACAAAGCAGGAGGGAAGAACACCTTGAAACATCTTTCTCTTGCAAGGACTGAAAAAGAGATTGCGGCTGGCATCCGCATGGCTGGCCTAAAGCGTGAGCAGGTGCCTTGAAGCTCCGCATTGCACGAAAACAGATAAATAAAACATGAGTAGGCCATTTGTGAAGGATCTGACCTTGTGGTTGTTTTATGTTCTAATAAGCAGCATGAGGTATTCCAGTAGGGTGTCATAGAGGAATTAGGTCCAGTAGCTTATATATACAGATTATACAGACTATTTATATAGAGGTCGCATGATTCACATTGGTTCAATCTGCGTTTCATTTTTTGCTGGCATCCCTCGGTTTCACAAAAGAATATTTTCCCCACGTGCTGCACTCCCAAGTGTACGACAGGTCTTCATTTGCACAAAAGTGCTGCAGAAGGCACATGCGAGTGATGCTCAGGCCTGGGAAGCAGATACGTCTGTGCAGGACCAAGACCTTTGGTGGATGTTGGCGGTGACAAATCATTCGTGCGTTGCTTCAGGTTCGCAACTCTTTGAAGGAGAGCCTTCGAAATTTGGACAGTTCGGTGCTCACGCTTTGTGCTGCATCCCTTCACTGTGCTATTCTCGCTGCTGTGGAAACTCTTTCCGATCGTTGAGATGTTCACACTGGTTGTGGGTACAGTTGAACGCTATTTGAGAATCTGATCAGACTGCAATTTTTGCAGCCGCGTTCACTAAGCCAACTATGTGGACCTTTATGTCATCCACAATCCAAGAGCTGGCAGAATCAAGGACCTCCAGACCCAAAGGTTAGGATTTTTTTTTTAAAGATGTGCAACGGTGCAGCACATATTTTGGAAGGAGGCAGAAGTAGGCGAGCGCGTGAAGCGCTAGAAACGGAACGGCCCATTTGCTAGAAAGGAGAATGCCCCTGAGCTCTGGAGATTTTTGGTTTATTTGGTGAAGTTGAATGGTCAACTCACGATGAATCCCAAATTTCTATGATTTCCTGTCCAATCTGTGAGGAGGTGTGGTCTTTGCTGTTACAGCTTCGTGAAGAAGGTCTTTGCAAGGCCGTTGGAGTCTCGAACTTTGGTGTTGGACAGCTCGAAGGCGAGCCGTCGGGCAACAGGTTGGTTTTTGCACTGTTACAGCCATTTTCAACATGTTTGAAGATGTTACATTTTTTGGCTGAGAGTATGAAGAGAGTATGAAGAGGACAGCATGAACAAAGCCATTGAAGTGGTGGAGAGATGTGTAGAGATGCCTTGCTTTCAACTGATAGGTCTACGGGAGTCGGGCCTGGAACTGCCTGAGGTGAATCAGATCGAGGCACTTTAAGATGTGAGGAGCAAATCTGAAAGAAAACAAACTCGTAGCAGTCGTAGCATCTCGTAGCCAGGACACACTACGAACTCAGTAGGATGCAATCAAGCGTGAAGTGTCGGCAACAGACTGAGAATATTTTGACATATTTTGACAGATTTTGTCATTTTGATTAGGATATCCTTAAAAACATTTACAAACTATCTTCAAGAATCCAAAGTGTTTGGTGTGCTTGATTTTTGGGTATGGGATACGCTTGGATGCCTTTGGATGCCCCTGGGCTGTGGAGAGGTGCACTGCTGGCGTCAGCTGCAGAAAGTGACAGCCTACCACAGTGAACATGGCCACTCGCCACAGCAGACGTCCAGTTCAGTCCAAAAGCACAAGTTGGACATGCAAAGCCACCATGCAAAAGCCACCATGCCAAGCCACAAGCCAGGGTAATAGAAAGGATAGAAAGGGCTCTGAAGATGCAGTGTTTGCATGTGTTTGCCAAGTTTGTTTTATTTGTTTTCTGGTTTCTCTGAGGAATTGCAACTATGTGCATGGCGCCCCTTGCGCGTGGCCGAATGTTTGGCCGCAGCGATCTGGCCAAGATGGCACAGGACATGTCAAGGTTGAGCAAAGAATTGCTGAGTGCTTGGTTGTGTCTTCAAGAAAGGCGTAGCAACTTGCTTGGAAGTTGCGTGGTAGTCATGGAGTTGCGACCAGACTGGTTCCAGCCACAACGGTACGGATGCTTTTGCCAGGAGATGGGCCGCACAGAAGCAGAAGTGGCAATTCGATGGAGCTTGCAAAAAGGCCCACCTGCACAAGAAGAGACAGTAACTCCGAAAAAAGGTCAAAAAGGTGGCAAACGGGGATATTCAAAAAATGTGGTTTTCAACACCTCAATTGGCTAAATTCATGATTTGTGCCATACACACTGTTGATTTTTGGAAGTGAACTGCAATGACGATGTGGTTGTACATGCCTGGTAGAATCCTGAGTCCATCATCCTTGATAAACAGGTGAAACCAGGTCCAAATCATTAATCGGCAAGGTGGTTCTTGGGTTAGCCACATCCCATCGCGGAAATGGAAAGACATGATTAGGCAGGTACGTCGATCCAGCGTCCCGGATCGATATCACAGAATGTCATAGCCGTCTTCGTTGGCTGCAGAACTATGACATTCCCTGCAGCCCCCTGCTGTTAAGTAGTCTTTGGCGCATGAATTCGGAAAACATAACGTGCATAGTCTTTGGCGCATGAATTCGGAAAACATAACGTGCATAGTCATCAAATGTCCAGTTGTAGTTTTCTGCATGTGAATAGCAGTGTACACACACACAAAGGCCTTCACATGGAAGGCAAATTCTGAAAGACTGCCTAATGAAGCAAGCAGATCACGTCAATATAAGCAACGTTGAACTCATTCGAAAATGAAATTCATGCTTGGGATTAGGTGTATACGCACCTGCATCTTCATGGACAGGTCTTTCCAAAGAAGGCACTCTGAGGTAGCGGCGTGTAGAGCAAGTAGACCACGTAGATCAAAGAAATCGCGATAAATAAAGTCGAAATGGAAAGGACATGGTTAGATTAAAAGGTATTAATTGTTATTGGCGAAATGATTGAATATGATGCAATCCAAAGTTTGTATTAGCGAAATAATTGAATATGATGCAATCCAAAGTTATCGTGCCCTTGTCCCTCACGAACATCAATTGTTTGTTGCAGATTGCGCAACACTTTGCGTGTGGAGAGCGGTATACACATATATACATATGTCTTCATAAGGAAGGTGACACTTCTGGGTTGCCGACGCGTGGAACAAATAGAGCAAGGACAGTATGACTTTGGAGTGTTAAAAAGTGAAGAGAACTGCACTTCAATTGAAACATGGATACCACGAAATGAAATGGACACAAATCGATTGTATTCTTGTTCTTCCACAAATCCGTTTAAAATGAACGTTTATTAGTTGTCTATGGACGAAGGGCAGAATTCGCCAAAAACTGAGATTCCGACGCGTAGAACACGTAGGTCAGGTGGTTGAGATAGAACGCAGTGATGAAAAACAGTAAATGGATTGATTAAATCACAGTTATATAACACTTAAGCCAGTGTGTTGCAGTACCGTGAACCATATAGAGTAGAACAACGGACGTAAACTAAGCTGGAGAACTGAATATAATCAATTACGGAAAAACAAATATCACACTGCGAGCCAGGCGTTTTGGGTGGGATGTTGCAGAAAAACGTTTGAACAGTTGCAACAGTTGCAAAGTTGCAATTGGAATGAAAAGCACAAAAACCAAAATGCAGCTACAACGGCTTCTTTTCAGTCAAACGGTGTCAATTGTTGTCTGGTCCATTTGTGTCCAAAACTGCGGGCAATCGAAATGATCTGAGGAATGCATTCGCGGTATCTAGGTTCCTGAAGGGTATGAAGGGCGAGCAGGTCTTGAACTTGAGGAAGTTGAAGTTCACGAGGAAAAGTATTTTGTAAAATTAGACGTGTTCGAGCAATGAGACCTGTATACATGTAGCTTCTAGGTCCAAAACCAGCGGAAGTGCGTATCACTGTGTCCCAAGGCAATACCGATGTAATGGTACGTTGATGTGGATTGATGTTGAATCCAAGTGCATCAAAACCCTGTACTTCTTCCAAAAGAATGGGCGAGGTGTAGAAGTCTAAATTCCAAAAGCAAGTTTGTCGAAGGCGATCAGTGAGTTGTTGTGGACCCAAAAGCAGACGGTTGTCAACATAACGAAAGGAAGTAAAAAGTTTTTCAGAAAAAATGGCTTGTCCAAAAAGCATGCTGTAGGTGTGCTCTCGATGTAGGGCAACTAGTGAACATACAACTGGGGCCCACTGTGAGCCCATAGATGCGCCTTGTATCTGTCGGTAGCTAACACATCCCAGTGAAAATAAGCTATGGCGAAGGAGGTACTTCACAAGACTATGGTCTCAATTATTGGATTGGTTTGAAGTGTTCGCTCAGTAGAAAACCTCGAAAACATGAATCAAGATCGTACACACATCTGCAGCGATAAGGTCCCTACCATGTTTGACATTCTGCTTGGTTCGAGCATCACAAACTATGTGTGTCCGCACACTTTTGTGATAGGTCTTCCTATATTCTAGATCTCTTCAAATTGATCTCTTGTAAATTGATTTGAAAGAGAAGGTGAAAACTCATAAAATGACAGTAAGAAGTAGGGTTCCCGGCCAAAAAAATCCTTCGGCACATGGCCACCTTCGCCCTATGGGCACCATTCGCCCGTTGGGCACCCCCTTCACATGGAAGGCAAATTCTGAAAGACTGCGTGTAGAGCAAGTAGACCACGTAGATCGAAGAAATCGCGATAAATAAAGTCGAAATGGAAAGGACATGGTTAGATTAAAAGGTGTTAATTGTTATTGGCGAAATGATTGAATATGATGCAATCCAAAGTTTGTATTAGCGAAATAATTGAATATGATGCAATCCAAAGTTATCGTGCCCTTGTCCCTCACGAACATCAATTGTTTGTTGCAGATTGCGCAACACTTTGCGTGTGGAGAGCGGTATACACATATATACATATGTCTTCATAAGGAAGGTGACACTTCTGGGTTGCCGACGCGTGGAACAAATAGAGCAAGGACAGTATGACTTTGGAGTGTTAAAAAGTGAAGAGAACTGCACTTCAATTGAAACATGGATACCACGAAATGAAATGGACACAAATCGATTGTATTCTTGTTCTTCCACAAATCCGTTTAAAATGAACGTTTATTAGTTGTCTATGGACGAAGGGCAGAATTCGCCAAAAACTGAGATTCCGACGCGTAGAACACGTAGGTCAGGTGGTTGAGATAGAACGCAGTGATGAAAAACAGTAAATGGATTGATTAAATCACAGTTATATAACACTTAAGCCAGTGTGTTGCAGTACCGTGAACCATATAGAGTAGAACAACGGACGTAAACTAAGCTGGAGAACTGAATATAATCAATTACGGAAAAACAAATATCACACTGCGAGCCAGGCGTTTTGGGTGGGATGTTGCAGAAAAACGTTTGAACAGTTGCAACAGTTGCAAAGTTGCAATTGGAATGAAAAGCACAAAACCAAAATGCAGCTACAACGGCTTCTTTTCAGTCAAACGGTGTCAATTGTTGTCTGGTCCATTTGTGTCCAAAACTGCGGGCAATCGAAATGATCTGAGGAATGCATTCGCGGTATCTAGGTTCCTGAAGGGTATGAAGGGCGAGCAGGTCTTGAACTTGAGGAAGTTGAAGTTCACGAGGAAAAGTATTTTGTAAAATTAGACGTGTTCGAGCAATGAGACCTGTATACATGGAGCTTCTAGGTCCAAAACCAGCGGAAGTGCGTATCACTGTGTCCCAAGGCAATACCGATGTAATGGTACGTTGATGTGGATTGATGTTGAATCCAAGTGCATCAAAACCCTGTACTTCTTCCAAAAGAATGGGCGAGGTGTAGAAGTCTAAATTCCAAAAGCAAGTTTGTCGAAGGCGATCAGTGAGTTGTTGTGGACCCAAAAGCAGACGGTTGTCAACATAACGAAAGGAACTAAAAAGTTTTTCAGAAAAAATGGCTTGTCCAAAAAGCATGCTGTAGGTGTGCTCTCGATGTAGGGCAACTAGTGAACATACAACTGGGGCCCACTGTGAGCCCATAGATGCGCCTTGTATCTGTCGGTAGCTAACACATCCCAGTGAAAATAAGCTATGGCGAAGGAGGTACTTCACAAGACTATGGTCTCAATTATTGGATTGGTTTGAAGTGTTCGCTCAGTAGAAAACCTCGAAAACATGAATCAAGATCGTACACACATCTGCAGCGATAAGGTCCCTACCGTGTTTGACATTCTGCTTGGTTCGAGCATCACAAACTATGTGTGTCCGCACACTTTTGTGATAGGTCTTCCTATATTCTAGATCTCTTCAAATTGATCTCTTGTCCTCACAATTGTAAATTGATTTGAAAGAGAAGGTGAAAACTCATAAAATGACAGTAAGAAGTAGGGTTCCCGGCCAATAAAATCCTTCGGCACATGGCCACCTTCGCCCTATGGGCACCATTCGCCCGTTGGGCACTCCTTCGGCTTATGCCACCCTTCAATTGTCCTTGACCCCCCTTCGGCTATTGCCATCACTTCTAGCAGCCCCTATGGCTACTCGCTCAACTTCTGCCTCCGTAGAGGGCGGATTCGGCACACTATGCCAAGATTGTTCTTCCCCATTAGGGATGATGAGGTCATGGTCTGTATAGGACACATGACTAATGCACACTGTTGATTTTTGGAAGTGAACTGCAATGACGATGTGGTTGTACATGCCTGGTAGAATCCTGAGTCCATCATCCTTGATAAACAGGTGAAACCAGGTCCAAATCATTAATCGGCAAGGTGGTTCTTGGGTTAGCCACATCCCATCGCGGAAATGGAAAGACATGATTAGGCAGGTACGTCGATCCAGCGTCCCGGATCGATATCACAGAATGTCATAGCCGTCTTCGTTGGCTGCAGAACTATGACATTCCCTGCAGCCCCCTGCTGTTAAGTAGTCTTTGGCGCATGAACTCGGAAAACATAACGTGCATAGTCTTTGGCGCATGAATTCGGAAAACATAACGTGCATAGTCATCAAATGTCCAGTTGTAGTTTTCTGCATGTGAATAGCAGTGTACACACACACACACAGAGGTGTGCCGTTTTGGGCCTTTGTTTGAAACAAGCATTACGATGTAATTTTTATGTTGTCGAGATTTCTTTTGGTGCAGGGTTCAGCATGCAAACATCAAGAGGTAAAAGTGCAATAAAAGTGCCCTGGGCACTCCTGTCTAATGCAGAATGCGATAGAATGTGCAATATATAATAGACAACTGCACAGGCAGGTCCTGTCCAGGTGTAGCGTGTAGTGACAGCATTGTTGACACGATGCCCACAGCGTTGTTGACTGTTGAGAAAGCTAACGGAATGAATATGCCTGGCTATCGCCTATCGGGTGTGGAAACAGAGTTCTTGCTTGGACATGTTGTTGCAAGCCTGTACGTTGACGCAATCGAGGCTACATTCCAATTCCCAAGTCCATCAATCCAGAGCGCATCCTTCTCAACATGGCTGACGGGTTTGACCTGACCAAGCGTCAGATGGAACTGGAGCTGAATTGATGAGATTTCTTTCAACGAAAGTATTTCACAAACAGCCATGTTTGGATCACGAAATCACACCTACACCTTTGCTCTAGTTGACCAAAACACCTCGCTGTGTTCTTGGAACATCAGCAGCACCTGAACCTGGAAATACTCGTAGTACCTGACACCTGCTGCTGTTGAAGCTCAACAAAAAGCCCCAAAGAAAATTATTGTCGTTGGCATGTTTTCTGAGAGGCTAGTCACTGTACATCTGAACTGCATACTTATAAGGTATACACATACAGTGTGCATTTGTGTGTGTGTATACAGTGTGTATATATATATTTAAATACACAGTATGTTCACACATGCATATTATATGTCTACACAGGACATGTATGTATGTGTATTTAAGGGCTTACGCCTGACAGCCGGGCGCCGGCAGAGAAACGCCCTGAAGTCAGTGTAGGGGAGAAGCATCAAAAAACACAAATATGCATCAATAATCAATATATATATATATATGCACAAAAAATGATTCAAACAAAAATGAACGACCAAACAGGAGGAAAGGAGGGAATGAAGGAAGGCAGAAAGCAAGCAAGGAAGTAAGGAGGCCTGTGCCTCACGTCAAATTCTGCACCTGTAGATAGCTGCCTCTGCCTAACGTCGCTTTCTGATGCGACTCAACTCCGGAATCGTTCGATACACGGGTACCTATGTCGAACGTCACTTTCAGAAGCCTCACGTCGCTTCCTACACCTATAAGAAACTAGCCTCCAGAACGTTGCTTCGTTTTTCATCCGTCGTCGCACCCTTTTTCTTGCCCATTTGGCATTGCTTCTCAGACGCGCTCCCCGTGGTTCCCCGGGGTCGGCGGATATTATATACCAAGTTTTCACAGACATGTTGAAGTTGATACTGAGGCAAGTTTGTTGCGTGTTGGACTGGGCATTCTCTAAGGAACGCGTTGAGCGATTGGACACTGGATTTATGTCCTGCACGATGGCTTCACCATGCCACGAGCTGTCTTGGCAGCTGGTGGCAGAGCCTTGGAGCATTGTACCCTTGTGTCCTTGTGTCATTGAACGCCTTGAACGCACAGCACGGATAAATCATAGATATGTTCGATATGATTGATATGTTCGATACCTTAGATACGTTTGATATCTCAGATATGTCAAATATCTTAGATATGTTAGATTTTGCGTGCCTGGGACATACGACGGACAACTTCAACATGTGTGTTTTCAGGTTTTGTGTGTTTCCAGGGGTACCACAAGCACACCAAGTTTCACCACCATCCCAAATTATTCATGCCTTCGTAGAAACAATTTTGGGACGCTCTGGTTTCGCAACCGATTACCATAGCCAAGGACAGCATTCCTGACCCTGACACATGGGGAGGAAATCGCAACAAGTCCAAAGGATACGGGAAAGGCAAGTCGCTCCTTGTCTCGGTCTGATCGAGTCACTTTATGTCAATGTTTTCAGATCTTTTTGAATCCACTGCAGTGTCCTGAGAACCTGGAAAAAAAATGCAGCAAAAAACTAAGGAAATTTACACATTCAGAGCCCACGAGATGGTGATCAACTGTTGGCAGGCATCCAAAGGGATCCTGATTTCTATGTTTTCCTATTGATCCTACTGGGATATCCCAGTCCTAGTCCTAGGCGCTTTTAGTGCTCCCCAACTTGGCTTATGGATGCTTATGGATAGTACTTTTCGACCTTTGCATTGCTGGAGGTCAAACCACTTAGTCCTTTTTTATCCCTTTTTTGAATCTATCTGAACCCACTTGTTCTGTGGAAGCCGGTTTCCTTTAAGCCGTGCACAGTTGTGTTGCTTGGGCAGAAACCATCAGCTGGCAAAGATCCGCATTTTCGCTGGTTCGGTGCATTTAAGCTGTGACAAGCTACACGCGCAAGTGCGCATCTTGCAATACATGGGTGACTGAAAAAATGCTGCTGCAGCAGTCTTGGATCCCGGGAAGGAGATTCCTGTGTGGGCTCTCTTGGCCGAACTTGAGGTGCACACCATCCATTCATCAGCAGCAGGGTATAGTGAAACCACAGTAAGAAAGTACTAGCAATGATATAACATTGGTAAGAGCGATATAGATGCTCACGATAAGGTCATGCATAGTAGGTGATCTGTAGTGAAGCATGCTAGTAGGTCTTGCTGTTGGGGTGCAGATGTTTCATGGATGTGGATGGGCACAGTCGAGGACAGAGCCTTTCGAGCTTTTTCCAGAGTAGCTAGGAGAGTCAGGCGGTCTCAATCCATCAGCAATCTGTGCTTGCTGCTGACTCCAAATCTTACTTCGAACAAAGAACACGAGAGTAAAATGCTTCATGGATTTTCAAGGTGCCTTGTGGTGGTATTTATGTTTTCTTTATATTATGATTATTTTTATTATTTATTATTTATTAAAATATTTATTATTTATTATTTATTATTAATTATTTATTATTAATTATTTATTATTTGTTATTTATTATTTATTATTCATTATTTACTATTTATTATTGTTTATTTGTTATTTATTATTTATTATTTTTCACTTGTTATTTAGTATTTGTTATTTTTTAATTATTATTTTTCATTTATTTATTTATTTATTTATTTATTTATTCATTATTATTACTATTATCATTCTGTTTTCCAAACAAAGTTTGCATCTCACACAGCTCCTTCAAGAGCAAAGCCGCAAGGATCCAGGCACTGCGTATTTCCGGGTCAGAGTTTAGGCGAACGGATATACGATGTGAGGTTGTATCTATGCATGAGTATGTAATGCAAGCTAGTTGCTGTCGAGCCGAGGTGCCAATAAAAGGATGATGCGCAGCTGAAGGCACGAGCAAGGAAGCTGCATTGAATGTCATTTACTTTAAGTGTTTGGATATTTTGGATTTTGCTTGCTTTTTGCAGTTGACCTTTAAGCGGAAAGTAAGATTCTGTGAAGGTAAAAGATGTAAAAGCAATTTCATGGCTTTCACCACATGGTGAGTTGTGCAGTTGTAGCTTGCGGTGCGGCCACTTTCACCATCAAGTGGACAACATGCACCATGGAAATATGTGGTCATGCTTCGGTCAAGAACCTGGGAGATGACTTGACATTACTCGTTTTTTGCTTTCTGGAGAACTTAGAGGCAAAAGAACGATCACGTCTAGACCACACTACATGAGCATAGTATGATACAAAAGCGCACACGCACGCACGCACGCACACACACACAGGCAGACTCACTTTTCTTTGCGTGCTTTCTTTTGCATTGAGCTGGTCCGCCTCAATGAAAAGATGTCGCCTGTTGTTGCTGGCAGCCCTGTTCAGCTTTGCGCAACTTGGCCGGTTCCCCCTTTACTTTCTTGCCTCACTCACTGTAATTCCTGGAGGTCAGCCAGATATTTTGCAAAATGAAGCGGTTCTTTCTTTGGGCCGCTTTTGAGCACATGTGAGTGGTGCATTGACCTGCCACCAGGCACTTTTCACGTGTGTAGGAAGGAACCACAGTAGATCACACTACAATTTGTTGGAAGAGTTCAAAAGATGTGCAAGTGCTGCAAGTATATAAGCCATTATAAGCCTTCTGTTTTGGCGTCCAAGGAAATGCAATCCAGATATAAGTCATGGACCCGTGGAGCCATCCGCACCGTCCCAGCAGCTTCTTTCGTTGGAAGACTTGCAAGACATGATCAGCTCTCTTGAAGAGCGCACGCGCCTTAGTCACGCTTGAAAATCACCACAAGACTGCATGATAGGTTAGTGGATATTATATTGCCTGTCACATTTCAGCATTGCTTGGAATTCGGGAAGTTGGTGGGGACATGAATGTTGGAGACGGTTTGCTTAAGCTGACCTTGGAGCGAGCAACAATCATTGTCAAAGTGAATTTACAGCCAAAGACTGACTGCAGTTCGAATTACAGCTACGTATGCTACGTATGCTACTTATGCTACGTATGCTACGTATGCTACGTATGCTAAGGACGAAGACAACTGCATAGTAACACCACATCGCCGGCGCAAAGACGTTTGGGGATGCACTCGCACTCCGGGGCGCACTCAGACTTGGGCATGCACTTGGACTCGGAGATGGTGGATTCGGAGACTGAAGAGCTGAAGCCGACTCAACAAGCTACGTGTTCTTTTGATATCATAGGCCTGGAATGATACATGAACCACATATCCATGCAATATTTGTAATTCTAAAGTCTAAAGATTTCAAAGGTAGTATTTTCTGGTGCCCCAATCTTATTTTTGTTGGTCTGCTGTGCTGTCCGTTGTGCCACTACATCCATGGAGATTGTTCACGGCTATCCCATCTTGGCTTCGTCTCAAACCGACAAGCCGCAGGTATCACGCTTGCAGTGGCCAGGACTGGGACTGTGCTCTATTTTGTGCAGGATACTTGCTTCTTGGATTGAACATAATTGAACTAGTGACCTTCATGCAGTTGGAGATGTTCTTAATAGTAGTTCTTACGTGCACTAAGCTTGCTTCTCCCTGGATCGACACTGTGAAAATATTCAAAAGCACGAAAGGCATGCCAAAGGGGTGGAAAGGACATCAAAGACATCATTGCTGGCAAACGAAGTTGGAGGCAACCTTATGGATATTATGGACTTTCGATTTTTGAAAGCATTTGGATTTGTCGAGGTAAGAACACGGAGACGATCAATCAGAAGTCTGCATGTGCTGCAACAATCAACGGAGTGTCTTTTTTGCACACTTGACTGAGAGTTTGAGCTTACGGAACAACAATGTGACAAAGATCAAGTTTGAATGAAAGCGGTCTCAGACAAAGATTGCAAAGCCATATGCAGCTTTAAAATATGCTTTGCAGACTTTGTGTGGTCTCAAGATTGTATTTTGAAGCGGGAAAGGAGAAGAAGAGAGATGTACACAAGAGGCCCTTGAACATGTATATGCGAGTGAGATGCAACTAAGTTATTTGCGACGATCGGCTTTCTGATTTCCTTCATGTCTGACAGCATCAACGCCTGTCAGACAACCTTGCGTCATGGCAAGAGAAGGGTTGAGGAAGGGTCGTGAAGCCACCAGATCGAAGTTATGCTGTCGCATTTGCCGAAAATGTCCAGAGTCTCCAACAATCAGAGTGCAATGTTTTTGTTTTTGTGTGTCTGTGTGTAACGTCTGAACAGACGTAAAACTTCATCATGTTATATCATATTATATTGAATTATATTATATTATATTATATCATACTATATGAAACTATATTTATATTATATTATATGAAACTATATTTATATTATATTATATTATATTATATATTATATTATATATTATATTATATTATATTTATATTATATTATATTATATTATATATTATATTATATTATATTATATATTATATTATATTATATTATATTAAATGGTGTATGATACTATATGATATGATATGATATGATATTATATTATATTATATTATATTATATTATATTATATGATATTATATAAAATTAAATTAAATTATATTATATTTTATTATATTATATTATTATTTTTTGTATTACCTTAATGCAGGGGGTCACCCGGGTTCCGGGGGGGTCGGTGACCAACGAAGACACCTCCCCGGACCCGTGAAACGTACCTGCGGGACTGTGGTCCCATATATATATATGTATATATATAGAGTTCTAATCCAATTGCATGTGATGGGATTCGATTCCCGACGGATCAATGACATGATCCATTCTTGTCTAGTGTGATTTCCATGGTGACTCCGGCATGGTGCCATGGAGCCAATCGAGGGCAACCCTGTTTAGGGTGAATGATGACGGAGTCGACTACCGAATTAAGACATTTTAACCTGGTAATTCGTCTAAGTAAAGTGCAGCAGTTGGCCTTACTGTTACCAGCCTTTTACCCTCGTGAACCTTTCGAACCTGCATCTTCGCTACTGAGACAGTGTGCGAAACCGCTGAAACATTGTTTTATTTTGATGCTCAAGTTTTTGAAGTGAAACATGACACGAACGACAGAAGGCATCAGGCCCGTCTTTTTCCTGCAGGTTTGGTTTCTTTGGTATCTGGTGAGGTTAAACATTTCGTGCGTCTAATTCGTTGGAATTTGAACAGCTGTTTATGCCCATGTGGCTTGATCGACCACGGTCCCGGCTGGGAGTAACGCGCGATTACTTAAGACTGAACTGAATCCCATTTTAATCGCTGTTGGTTTCTGTCCTGTTCACCAACTAGTTCCCCATTCGGTCCCCTATTTCATGCGTTCTTCCCTCCCCAGGTAGGTCGGGTCCTGCGCGTGCCGAGGTTGGCGTAGGTTTTGCTGTGTTAGGTTGGTTCAGGCGCTTCCGTCTTCCCCCCCCTCCGCTGGTCTTGTTCCGTGTCCGTCGGCCTCCGCTTTTCTTTTTCCTTGCCTTTCAGGGTTTGCCCGTTCCGGGCCAGGTGTGTCGGTGTTGGTGTTTGCTCTTTCCCTCTTCTTTTGCGTTCCCCTCCTCGGGTCCCGGTTACGTAATCCTTCATCCCCCTTTTCATCCTCACCTTCACCTCATATGCATGGACACCACCCTGCCAAAGGCAGGGTGTGTGTTTGTGTAGTGGCACTCATGTCCTACAACACGCAATGAAGCTGTGGACATGAGTGGGAAGGGAAACGTGGCCGGTTTCCTATATATTCCTCCCCTGGGCGCATATAAGTCGCAGCTGGGGGGGACATATATTTTATTGCTGTTGGTTTGTATGGTCAACGTCCACTGTGATTATTCATCTTGTCTTTTAATTGTTGGTGTTTTTGCACGTCAGATGCATTCCGCATCAGAATTCGCAATGATTGTTCTGAGCAAGTGTGTGATTCATGCTGGATTCGTCATGGTGGCATGAACCCTTCGGGGAATACCTTTCCAGGTAGGGAACTTGAGCCTTCGACCCGATCTCTGAATTTACAATTTTCAACCTAGTAATTTGTTTAGTAAAGTGAAACAGTCGGCCATTTTTTGACTTTCACCCTGTCGGTCGTTGTGTTGAAACAACTGGCCGCCGTTTGGGCAATCACCTTTTCAATTTTCAACTTAGTAATTCGTCCAAGTAAAGTGTAACAGCTGGCCATTTTTCAAGGTTTCACTTGTCGCTCGTCGTTGTGTGGAACTACTGGCCGCAGTTTGGGCACCCACCTTTTTTTTGCATCAGGTTTAGGCCTCAGGACGTGCTTTCAGGTATGGTGTTTTTTTTCTCTTTTGGTCTCTGGTGAGGTTCAATTGTGCACGTAATTCAATTTGACTACTGGCAGCCGTCGATAGGCTTGACTTGATGTTGTGGCCATTGAGCCCGATCAGGGGAATGTGCACGATAATGTGGCTGCATCTTTTCATTAACTTGTCCCCCATGAGTCCCCTATCTCATGTGTCTTCCTCTCTACAGGTAGGTTGGGTCCTGCGCGTGCTTAGGTAGGCTTACGTTTCGCTGTGGTAGGTTGGTTCCGGCGCTTCCGTCTTCCCCCTCCTCCGCTGGTCTGGTTCCGTTTCCGTCGGCCCGCCTTTTTTTCTTTCCTTGCCATTTCAGGGTTTGCATGCTCCGGGCCAGGTGTTGGTGTTTGCTCTTTCCCTCTTCTTTTGTGTTTTTTTCTCGCGTTCTGGTCAAGTAATTTCCATCTCATTTTCATTGTCATCTCAATTTCATCGTCATTTCATCTGCCCCGCTGTTGCGGGGCGTGTGTGTGTGTGTGTGTACCATCTGTATCGATGTAAAACTTCATTATGCTGCAGGGGCGTGTGGCACTCATGTCCTACCACACGCAATGACGCTGTGGACATGAGTGGGAAGGGAAACGTGGCCGGTTTCCTACATGGTCCCGCCCCTGGGCGCATATAAGTCGCAGCTGGGGGGGCACATATTTTATTGCTCAACATCCACTGTGATTATACGTCTATATATATATATGTAATATTTGTATATTCATCTTGTCTTTTAATTGTTGGTGTTTTTGCACGTCAGATGCATTCCACATCAGAATTTGCAATGATTGTTCTGAGCAAGTGTGTAACGTCTGAACAGGCGTAAATATTTTATTTTATGATATTCTATTATGTGATATTCTATGACATTAAAATATATTATTTTAAATTATATTATTAAGTTATATTTGATATGATATTTATATTATATTATATTATATTTTTTTATATGTTTCGATATTAACTTATATTAAATAGTATATTAAAAATGATTTGATATGACATGATATGATATTAAACCCCATTTTTATTGTAATATATGAGGTTATATTATATGATATGATATTTGAATGATTTGATTTGATATGATATGATCTGAAATGATATTAAATTATATTATATTTCATTATATTATATTATATTACATTATATGATATTATATCATTATATATTATACTATTTTATTAAATATTATATGGTATGATTTTATAGTTTATTATATGGTGTGAAATGAAATGATGTGATATTATATTAAATTCTTTTTTATATTATATGATATTATATCATATATTTTTTAAATAATTATATCATATTATTTTAAATCGTATTAATTATATTGCATTATATTTTATTTGATTTCAAGTGATATGGTATGATATGATATGACATGATATCATATTATGTTTTATGACATGATATGATTTGATATGATATGTTATATGGTATTATATTATATTATATTAAATTATATTATATAATATTAAAATATTAAATTAAACTATATTATATTATATGATATGATATGATGTGATATTATATTATATTATATTATTTAATTTTATTACATATTTTTCCTTAATGCAGGGGGTCACCCGGGTTCCGGGGGGGTCGGTGACCAACGAAGACACCTCCCCGGGACCCGTGAAACGTACCTGCGGGACTGTGGTCCCATATATATATATATATATATATATATATATGTATATATATAATTCTAATCCAATTGCATGTGATGGGATTCGATTCCCGACGGATCAATGACATGATCCATTCTTGTCTAGTGTGATTTCCATGGTGACTCCGGCATGGTGCCATGGAGCCAATCGAGGGCAACCCTGTTTAGGGAGAATGTGGACCGACGTGACTTCTGAATTCACACATTTTAATTTAGTAATTCGTCTAAGTAATGTGAAACAGTTGGCCATTCCGTTCACCACCATTTTGCGATTTCTCGCCGCTCGTGCTGTCCTTGTGAACCCTTGGAACCCTGACCTTTGCTCAAGTGAAGCCTTGCCTGCCGAACTACCACAAACCTCCTTTTTGCCGCTGCCCAAGCTGTTTGCAATGCAACATGTCCAAGAGGCAACAAGCATGTCCTCTTCCTGCAGGTTTGGTCTTTTTGGTATCTGGTGAGGTCAAACATCTTGTGCATCTAACTCATTTGAACTTGAACGGCCGCTTAATGCCCATGTGGTGTGACCGACTACCGTCCCTTCGGGGAGTGACGCACGACCTTCTAGGATTGAACTGGGTCCCATCACTAAATGTTGTTGTTTTTCATTCCTCTTCACCAACTAGTTCCCAATTCGGTCCCCTATTTCATGGGTTCTTCCCTCCCCAGGTAGGTTGGGTCTTGTGCGTGCCTAGGAAGGGGTAAGTTTCGCTGTGGTAGGTTGGTTCAGGCGCTTCCCTCCTCCCCCCCCCCCGCTGGTCTTGTTCCGTGTCCGTCGGCCTCCGCTTTTCTTTTCTCTTTCCCTTTCCCTTTCAGGGTTTGCCCGCTCCGGGCCAGGTGTGTTGGTGTGGGTGTTTGCTCCTTCCATCTTCTTTTGCGTTCCCCTCCTCGGGTCCCGGTTAAGTAATCTTTCAGCTCATTTTCACTTTCATCTCATCTTCATTCCCCTTTTTCATCTTCATCTTCACCTCATTGCATGCAAACCACCCTGCCTCTGGCAGGGTGTGTGTGTGTGTGTGTGAAACGTCTGAATAAACGTAAAACTTCGCCGCCACTTCATTATATATTAAAATTGGTTTTGGAATGGTGCAGGATACATGGTAATCGATCTAAAGGTCCTCGTAAGGAGTTTT